CAAGTTTGATTTCCATATGAATAGTTTCCATTTTTGTTATTATTTCATTACAATCTGCCAGCTGCCTCTCAAAAAAGAATCCAAGATATGCATATTCATTTCTCAAAGCCGCAAAGAAACACGACTCAGCTGAGTGGCCGATTTCTTATATCGGTTTTTAATTAAAATGTTCTTCAATGCTAGACACAGCTGCTCAAATGAACAATGATTAATCAATCATTTGATTTGACTCGTTGGCTCGCAATCCGATTTTCCGCTAATTAAGCGCAGCTTTTTATTTAGATTTCCTTGATCCATTTTTGAGATTTTTCTTTCGCTGCGTTCGTTGAATGCTATTCACAAAGGATTAAATTAAATAAGAGGCAAATCGAGCGTAGATACTCTACTCAATTTTTTTCTATGCCAAATGCTTGTCAAAAAAGGTCGGAATAATTAAAATGAATTCGCATTGCTCAAATAATTAGAATCTCGTCAAGTTATTTAATTTATATTTCAATATGCAGTTGTCCAGTCTGGCTATTGAATCAGGTAAGCTTTTATACTTAGTTCGAATACTATAAAAATAATACCAAATATATTAAAAATACGAAATAATGTTAATAAGTTTGCATGGGCTCACCTTTCAAATGACAGCCGGCCACAAGCGCACTTCCTTAACTTTATTTATGTCTTTCAAGTATTTACAAAAGCTAAACAAAGTTAAGCCAAGGAGCGACTGAGTGGCAAAGTCAGAGTTGATTTATGCTAAATGTCTACGTGATTGAAGTAAATTAACGTAGTTGTCGCCTTTACTCTATCAGTGCTTAAGGCATAAGAGACGAACCAGCGAACAAGTTTTTGCTGAAATTAGAAAAACTTTTAAGACCTTTAAAATATATCTATATACCTTGCACATAATAAGCTTTTATACCAAGTCAAGCTACTAATTTTGGCTTCAAAGAAAATATAATATATTCAATGGGTTCAAGCATTAAGCTTCATAATTAACTCGCATCCTTAATTACACAATTAAATATCTGGATTCCCCTAATAAGTGTAGGACTGATTTAATACAAAAATAAATATTGGCAATGGCTTAAAGCATAAATAGAAATCAAAGAACTTAAAATTTATTTTAATTTCTAATCAGCTTTTTATTTGTATGTAATGCTACTACAAAAGGCACATCGAAAGAAACATTATAGTTTGTAAAGCAAGCAATTCACGTACCTTGTGGATTTGTCCCGTTCTGATCTTATTGTTGATGCAAAATACTCGAGAAAACACACGAATAATATAAAAAGTTTACTCAGCACGCTCTGGACTTGCGCTATTCATTAGCATGCAAATCTGAAAATGTATGGCCGGGGTCCTCTCAGGACCGCAGCTGTAAAAGCCATTGCAAGCTGAAACAACTGGCAGGACAAAGTTTGGCACACGAATTATGCACAGACAGGAACAGAATAGAGCAAATTATTTCGATGGTTCGCTAGTTGAGCTTAGGTACTACGGTCAGAATAGGTGGTAATTATATATCTTTTTATTATTTACAGCCGCCAGCCCGAAGATTAGATTGGCTTTACTGGTAAACTGAGCTAAGCTTTAAGGTTATATTAATGAAAATTCGTTTTATGACTGTGTCTGTTATAGACGATATGTATTAAGACCATCAGAATCCGATCATTACTTCTAGACAAAAAGTTATATACATTTTTGAAACTTATTTATAAAATTTGTGTATCCACTATGAGTAAAGGCCTACACAATTTTCAGTATTTTACACGTACTCTGGGAGATATTTGATAACATGTTTTTTACTTTTACTCCTATTCAGCATAGCTGCAGCCGTGGAGCTGCGTTCCTATCGAAATATACATATTATGGATTTTCCTGCCGTATATATCATGCAGTCAAAGTTGCAGTAACAAAACATAGGGTCTGCGATTGAAATAAATCATTTTACCTTGTTTTGTTTGCCTATAGCCTTTGGCTAAAAATTGATTTATTTTTCTGGCACATTTTTAGTATTTCATTTTTTTAGGTCGCAATTAAATAAACATTTCACGGTTACTGAAGATACATAAAAATGATATACGACCTTACGTATATTTGGCCAGGTTGCATCAACGGAATGGGAAATTGATTTTTGTTGAATTATAGTTCACGTCGGTACACACACTTTAACCCGTGATATTCTGAAAATCAATCTAACATTTTTTTAGCCATTATATCAAACATTTCGAAAAATGCATTCCTCCTTGGTGGAAATGGGGGGCAAAAATTTCGTGCTATAAATTATTTCCAAAGATCTATACGAAAAATTATTTAAGACGTGTTTCACACTCTTCGCAGAATCCTTTCTCGGTGGACAATGCGAATCAAGGATCTTAGGGCTAAGTTTTAAGTTTGATTTGCATTTAATTTATTTTCAAAGCGATATAAAAGAACTTAATAAACACGCAAAAGTGGTAAATTGGCAGAGAACGGTTGTGTAAAAATTTGTTTGTTTACCGTCCGATCGGTGTCGAATTCATTTTGAAAGATCTTTATAAGAATTTTATATACGTTCTACGGGAATAGCCGGAGTAAGCCCGCTAGTAAAATAAATATAAATCGAAATACATTTTGTAACTACAGAATATTAAATTGCAAATTTGTGAAACTTTTACGATTCTGCGAAATGCAAATATTTCAACAATCAACAGTAGTTAAAACAGTAGTTTATTTGACATTAAAATCAAATGTCAGTTTATGATTGCAATTGCAATTTGCAATGCAATGAAACTTTGAAAGCTGCCAGCTACTGGTCTGAACTATTATGCAGAAATGTGACCAAAAAAATAACACAACAACTACAGGAGGGAAACAATTATTTGTTCAATATTCTAGTTGAATTCATTGTCTGCACATGATTGAAATATTTATATGCTTCTCTTTCAGCTTCAACAGAAGGTTAACCTAATTTTAAATTTTCAGTTTTCTCCTGGTAGTTTTGTGTTCTTAATTGTATTTCAATGGATTTTAAAAAGTACGAATGAATTGATTACGATATATGTAATAATATGACTTTTCGCGTTATGCAAAAACATTTGCTGGAATAACTAGCTTAAAATTAAAAAAAATATTGATTGGAATTCTGTGTCTTTAGCGAGCCAACTGGGCCGACATTAACACACGCCTCTCTAAATATATAGAGTCCATTAGATGAAACACATTAGGCTGCATAAATATTTGCCGCTTGCAACATAATTCTCTGCCTCGAGGATGTCATTTCGTACACTTACTGAGACCGCAGTCCTGTACATACAAAAAGTCAGCCAAGTCCTTGGCACGTTGCATCCATCTGCATTTTCAACACATTTGGTTCCGCAGCAAAATGCTTTTGGCTCTTTTGCTTTGGTCTAAAAATATTGCCAGCGAAGAAAATTTTCCAGCTTCGCCAAACTCTTGACATCAGGCAGTAGCTGGTCTTAACTGTTCATTATAGTACAAGTGAAAAAGAGTTATTGTTTTTTTTTTTGGATTATAGAATGTAAGGTAGCTCAGAGCTTTGCATTAAATAAAAAAATAGCAAATTTTGGTAACAGATAAAAAGAAGACTTCTTCAATTTAGCCAAGGACCTTTGATCTTGCAAACTCGAAACGCGCAAGATTGAATATAGAGGTAATACTTCACATTAGGTTTAATTTAAGCCCCAAGCTTAAAACAATAAATCAACCTGAAAATTCGAAGATAACCATTTAAATTGCTAGACATGTCAAGGATAAGGACCACGCTGCAACTCTATAGAAAAAACAGTTATTCAATAATTTTATTTAACTCAAATCGTACATAAACTTTTTAGCCTTGTTGGAGTCCTCGCATGCAAAAGAAGCCAGCATTAATTCTGTTAATAGAAAAGAAAATATATGTATGTATTTATCTTTATATTGAATATGTTTTATAATATCTAATTCTTATACCTTATCTGTGTATGAACCCTTACTTTTACGATTTTAACATAACTCTTATTTGATTTTATGTTTGTATATTTTCTTTGCTTTGTTTCTAAATGTCTGAACCTGAACAATTGACGGACAATCACAATTAAATGTACATTGATGTTATTTTAGTATCATATTTCAAACTGAAAACCGACAGCCGAGACAGGTCATAGGTAAGTACAGTCAATGCTATTTATCTTCTCCTTCAGACAACCAGAAAATATAACAATACATTGTTTGGTAAGCTTGAGTCGTGATAGGCGGCTGTGGTTTCAACTGGCCACCAATTTCAGTTGCTTTATCTATCTAGCCCAACTGTCTCGACTGTCAGCCGGCGTGTCTAGACATTGTTGACAGCTATAAAATCAGTACACAACTAGGTACAACCTGTTCTTCAAACCTTGCACACACTAGCATGAAAGGCATTGGGCTGTTAAAAGCTAGACTCGAATGTCCAATGCCCAATTTCGTTGGCCACAGCCACTTCAGAGAATAAGGACACGCTATCAAAATCCTTAACTAATGAGTGGCTCATCCGTTTGCTGGCTTCCCAATTATTGCTAAGATTGCCCTAAAGCTGCGCGTGTGCTTAATGAGCAAAAGACATACCCACATGTACATATCTATATGCACATTAAACTTGTGGTTCCTTTATCTTAGCCTGCTTGAGAATTTCCTTGCTCTGTTAGCCCTGTGGCATTTGTGAGCTGTCGGAATTATGTTTAAATTTATATTTTGCTTTGCCAAATAATTGGTTGAGGGACTTAAGGATACATTAACTTAAAGTTCTGTAAGTCTTTCGATGAGCAACAAAAATGTATACAGATTGAGACAAAGTTTAAAATATGAGATATAAAACGAAAACTGTTTTTTAAATTCACGACTTCTTTTTGTTTACTTGATAAACAGACTCGCAAGATAAATTACCCTCGGCTTGTAATTTCCTGGGCTCTTCAGCCCAGACAAACAGGCAAATTTTATTTCCTTCTCATATTATAGAATTTGTTATATTCAGAGTTGAGATGGCTTTGAAATAAATTTCTTATAATCCCATAACGCTTAATTGGTGCAACTGAGACTAAGAACTGCTTGAAAAGCACAAATAAATACGTTGTGACTTAAATATTAAACGCACAGATTCCTAAAATGGCTCAAAAAAATAAGCCGTCCTTCACCATGCCACGGAAACAAGAGCTGCATGTCAGTTTTCCGCGCATCATGTCAGAAGTTCGTCAATGCGAGGATGCGAGGCTGATGAATTCTTCGCACGACTACGATACATTATTTTTGCCGCACTGGATGCATAAGCAGTTCATCGAAAATGGGGCAGCCCCGGATCAAGCGTTCTGGAACCAGAGCATAAGGAGAGACAGCAGAAATAATATAAATAGAAAAACATCCCCTTCAAAGAAACCGTATTTGCTGCTACTGCCAAGTAGTAGTGAGGCAACACAGGAGGATCAAACAGCGAAAGAACCACATGAACCACTGATGGGCTTGCATAATAAGTACTTTCCAAGCAATCCATTTCTCAACTGGTCGAAGCTGCATTCCAAAGCTGCGCAAATGCACGCCAAGACCCGGGAGCTGGTGCCATATCAACAGGCGACGGTGGAACTGGCACAAGCTATTGGGATGATGCAAAACATTACGGTGCATGACTTTGAGACAATCTGGCAGCCAGTGAAATTTAGCTCCAAGATTTCCATAGCCAAACACATGTCCAGCGTAGAGGGCCGGCGCTTAGGTAAGCTATTCAGATAATAAGGCGGATATCCTCATTCCTACACCGACATAATGCCGACTAATAGAACCCACAGAGCTACTCATGATTGCCATCCGCAACTTTTGGTTCGACAATTTGGAATTGAAAGTCGGAAGCGAGTTTATGCATGTTGATCGGTATCTATTCTGCCATTACATGAAAGCTTTTCACGACTACAGCAATTGCTTTCTTGAGCTTCCCAGCCACAAGGTCTCAATAAATCTGATGGTGAGGCTGTACAATTGGATCATTAAGGACCACAATGAGCTGGCACTGGGCAGTAACTTTCTGCTCATGTATATGATGGCCAAATTCCTGGATGTGCGCTACCTGCTGGAGCAGTACTGGTATGCATTTTCGATTCCTGGCAAGATGGGCATTTGGGAGGCAGAGGCATTCCATGCGTATTTGCCGTCACGTCAACTTCAATGCGGCGATTTGATGTCCATATTTTTAGCCCGCATACGCAAGTGCTTCCTGCCACTAGTCAGCTCTTTCGAGTTTCTCAATCTTAGTGCCAACGAGGTGATATATTTGCTCAAAATGGATATGATATGCGTCAACAGCGAAGACGAAATATTCTTTGCCGCCATCCGCTGGCTCGAGCATGACTGGCAGAACCGAGAGCAGTATCTTGTTCAAGTTATGGCCACGTTGCGCTTTCGCATGCTGTCGCCCTGGCTGCAACGCTCTATTGCCTATCAGCCAGAAAACGAACAGATCCGCAAAGTGGGCTCAAACAATATAGTGAAAGCTTTGTTGTGGCAAGCCTGTCTATTTGGGGAGGCGGCTTGTGCCTTCAAGGAGAATCAGGACTGCAACGATAATGTTATTGTGGGCAAGTATAGCCAGATTAAAGACGTCGAACGGTTTTGGGCCTACTGTCAGGGGGTGCCACATCACCACGATATTAGTTGCCCGCGATTCAGACAACTCACCTACGGCACATTCAAGCTTTTCCTAAATCGCCTGCAGAGTGACGCGCATAGCTACATTGACAAACTTAGCATTGTGCCGTACAAGCATTGGAACACCTACAATTGCTGCGATGACTTTAAATCCTTTGGCAATCGCAAATTACGGGCAAGATTCGTGTGCTCACCTGTCTACAAATTCTAATTCAAGTCACTTGAACTACGTGCAAGTCGGCTGCTAAGATAGCTAGGCAATAAGGTTTATTCTAAGGTTTATTCTAACAGCGATGCATTATACGCTACAATAACATAAATAGCGTTAAAACTAGAATAAAGAATAAAAGCCGGATTTAAATGGGCTTGCATGGGGTTATATCGAACTTACTTTACGACAATTCTTACATTCCTAGAGTTGGGAGTTATAGTCTTCAATGTCAACGTGATTAACTAGACAAAAGGATGGTATACATATATCCTAGTTTCAGATCCCCACTGCTTGTATCGCGTATACAAATCGTACGCCCTCGCAAATATAATTTCTCTTACCCGTTTCACTGAGTTTGGTCGATAGCTGCATTTGGGAGCAGAAGTGCGTGCACTCGCCGCTAGACAACGCCTACTCAGATTTAATCGAATGCATGTAATTTGTAAAGGCTCCTACGATCCCCCATCCGATTTAAGGCGTTTATATTGATATGGCCATTTGGTAAGCTAAAAGTAAGAAACAAGACCAGAGTGAATTGGTGATTGCTCATGTTATAAACAAATGCTCAAAATATTGACATTATATAATTTTTGATTTTTTAATATTAAAATACGTTTTTGTATTTCCGCTTTTCAAACAGTTGAGTGCTCATCAATATCTATATCACACCCAATAAATATTTGCTCTATTAAAATCAGAAAAATCAAAAAAATATCAGTATTTAAGTACATTAATATACAATTCGTTAACATGAGATTAAATGTAATATATAAATTGACAAGTTGCAAAGTGAAGTACTCGGCTGTGGACAATTCAATCAACGCAATCCTTTGTAAAAGGCGAGAGTCTTTGGTTTACATTCGTTAAAAACTATGAGGAATATTACGCATACGCCATATGGGCAGTAACCAAAGTGAACTGAAAGAAGAAACTTACCGCTGCAAACAGTTTACACGTTCGGCCAGTGCCAGTATCATAATATCCGCAAACACTGGAATAAGAACCCAATCATTTGGCTTTCCACTATCGGTTGTTGTTGTAGTTGAGATTTCATTGCTGCTGCCACTCACATTTACCACTAGCGGTTGCTCCTTCATTAAATTGACCGTTTCATTCATATTAGAACTGTGTGGGATTCCACTGGCACAAGCCGTCAGGGTCTCGTCCAAATCGACTTGTGTCACACATGAAGAGGATGTTTTCGTTACATCATCAGCAAAGTTTCGAGCTGCTAATGATATGTATGCCTCACTCGTTTTCGAAACTTGTGCCTGCATGTCCACCTTTTGACTTTGTGTTTGTTGCTCATTCAATCCGCTTGCCTGCTTTGGCCAAAAGTGTGAAGGTCCTTCGGCATGTCGCTGCATGCAATCTAATTGCCGGCTTGTCACTTGTAATTTGTTCCACTGTAATTAAATGAGCATAATTTTTATGGTATTTAATTATTTATAAAGAAATATTTTAAACCTTAAGAAGAAAATTTAATTAACCCACAAATTATATATATATAAAAAATTTAAGTATTATTTTTGGTTTTCAAGACTAAAGGTGCACATGGATCCTTTCGTGTTTGTTCTGTCCAATTATTACAATGAAATTATCAAAGTTAATAAGCTGGTATTTCTTTAAAGTAAATATTAATAATAAAAAATAAATAAATAACGTTTGTTTTAAAACACTCACCGTAATCTTAAGCCTGGCTATTGCTGGTGATCTTAGGGACTCCAAAGTTCCCGTCGCGCTATGATAGTTGCCAACAAACAGACAACTATGAGCCACTCCTCTCCAAAGTTCCACTGTCCCACTGCGCTCTTCAATTCCTCTGAACTGTCAAAAAATATATAGAAAATACTTGGCTAAGTTTTTATGAAACTGCTCGCCTCACCAACTAAGCAAATGGCGCTGAGAGCGTTGTCATATAAGCTCTGGGACCTAATTTATCTTATTTACTATATATGGTCATTTTAATGCAAGCCGCAAATTCTGGGAATTCTTTCGCTTTGTTTATCTTGGTTGCGCACGCTTGGCTTATAGCTTTGGCTATAAGCTCACCTGCAGTATCTCATTGCAAACAAACTCACGCAGACGTGCCGACCAGACCAGATATGATTCCAGGTTACATGACTTCTTTGGATTCTGTGCACCCTGTGATCCGCCCGGTGAGGAAGGTTGGTCGCATTTCTTCTGTAGCAGAAACAAATTGTTGTTTATGTGGAATGTGACAGGTGGCCAGAAGTGTAATTGCAGCTTTTGGTCATTAATGTTCATAAGTTGTGTCAAGTAATCTATGACATAAATAATATATATTTAAGATGTAAACAAAAAACAGTCACTTGGTTTTAATGCTGTCTCAATAGAACAATAAAAAGAATTTTCTTATTGCTTCAGAACATACATCACCACTGCGTCGATGCTTTTCTGGCAATAGTGCTTTGATTAAAACTATAATAATTAATTTACATTTTTTAAGTTTTATTGTTTTTTTATTTAGTAATAGTTATTTAAGCTAATATTATTTAATTTAAGATAAAGCTACCAGCATTGGTAATAAACAAATAATTAAATAATTATCCAAGTGTATTTTATAAAACTTAATACAACTTATATTCGCTTGATTTTAAATATAACCAAGGAGTTACCTGCTCATCAAAGAGCACCATGCTGCTACACTGCAGAAATTCCTCTCGTCCGACGTTCTTGGCCAATTTCTTTATCAGCCGACACAATACTTGTGCATATTGAGTGGCTGTTGGGCAGTTTAGGCTGGCAATAAGATAAATGGTAAAGTCTGATTAGATAAGGTATTGTGTAGAGCTCACCATGATCATATATCGCATATCGGCCTCATGTTGCTCCAACTCTGTCAGTCGGTAAAGTAAGGCACTTAGTACTTGGGAGACTATGGACACCTACTTTAAAAAGTTTAAAAAATTTCGTTTGATATTTGTGTAGATATATAAAGATATATACTTTCAAGCAAGTATATTCCTAAGCTATAAAATGCATATGCAAAATAAAAGACACTTTAAAACATAATTATTCAGCAAAAATAGTTTTATTGAATGTTAAAGTAGCAATAGAATATGTTGTCTTCAGATTCCATTCTATTTCATTTTTGTTTTGTCATTTGTATGTACACAGAGCTATTATATCAAACTTTTTGGGAAGGATGAATCGGTGAATTTTCGGGTACATGGAACTAAATAATTTGTTTACTAAAGCGCATGAATTGTTTATTTCAATTATGTGTACAATTTTTACAATGCAACCAATGTAAGCCCTTTGGTTCCATTAAAAATGCACCGTGCTCTCTATATCATGAATTTATAATCTTCATTTAATGCATGCATATGTTCGTTTATTTATTTGATTAAACAATGTGCAAAGTTCATTCGATAGGTAGCTCTGATATTTGCAATTGATTGCCTTATTTAAATCATTGACATGCTTTGGTATGAGCGCCTCAGTAAATGCGTCCAGCGGTCCAGAATCTATTCTACCATTCATACACATAATGCCGCTTGTGCCCAAAACAGAGGTCTGAAAACAGATAGGCGGTGTACCTAAATAAAATAAAAAAATGGCAAATACAATGAATGCTTAAAAGCAAATATAAAACAAAATAAGTAACGTATCTCTTTACAATGAATATAAGACAGTTGTTTTGGACAGATATTTACCACAAACTACTTGAAATTATAATTGAATGATGAATTGCTCGGAAATCGTGAGATATCCTTACGAAAAACAATTTTCGCTGAAAAATGCTGATACGTGTGAAAACACTGTCTAAATATGATTTTTAGACATATTTAACGATTTTGGATTTCACCGAGTTAATTTATTGGTCAACAGACCAAACTCTACAAGCCAGGGGTTCCTTTTTTTTTATCTCAAAACAAACTATTTAAATTGCAAAAAAAAAACAAAAAATATGTATAATTGCCTCAGAACTGATATCACATTGCTGGTGCCTAAGCGGATTGTTGGACACATCATATTGAAATATATCAACGCCAGCGCCCGTTGTTGTGGATTTTGCGGTGCTAAGCTGTTAAATTCACCAAATGCATTAATGTGTTTTAAATATTTGAATCTATTATAGTCGCACACCAAACTGCTGAATACCCAATTCCAAATCGCGTCCATTCAACTATGAGAAATGTACCAACGCCTAAGTCCCATGCCCTCGTTTTCTTGCTCAAATCCCACCTCCAGGCTTAAGGGTGATTCTTTTGCATTCAAGTCGCTGGCATCCAGCAAAAAAATGTTAACATCTGCACGTTGAGATTGTTTTTCACTTGCAGCTGGCTTCGTCAGTACCTGTCTCGCTATCTGAGCTTTGCTGATGGAATCTACTGAACTGCCGATATATGTATATGTTTATCGCGATCCCGTTGAACGCGCGACTTTTGCAGCACGGTTTGCTTGCAACGCGTGCCGCAGGCTATGGTTGATATCTTACTGGCATAAAAGTACATTGTCATATGTCACGTTCTGGTGGCCGCTCGTGATGCGGTCATGTGTGTGCTGCACGACTGTGTCTGGGTTACAAATGAATTGCTGTGTGTTTGATTAACGCACGGACAACCCAAACAGGTGACAGACCGTACGAATCGAGGACCATGCCTCGTAATGTTATCACCACGTCCACGAGTTACGTACGCTGCAAAAAATAAATAGACTGTGAAAATGTGCACCATTTATTATGATTCAATGACTCGTCATCAAATCAACAGGGCGTACAACCATTCCACATTACTCATACGCCACGTCCTACACGTTATGGCATTTGAGTCCCTTCATTAGTGTGAATTTATTGCGATAGAAATCTACACAAAACCTTATATACATACACAAGTTTTATATTATTCATAGATTTGCATTAAAACTAACTTTTGTTTAAAGAATTTAATTTTAGCTGGGATTTTTAGAAGTTTCCTAATAAATTGCAGGTTACAATCAGGAGCCGCGAAAGGGGTATTTGAATAAATGAACACAAAATAATTTAAGCTTGCAACATTTAATAGCCTTTAATAATTCATAATAAAAAAGGTTACGCTGTACTCTGGCAACTCTTTACACTTAAAAACTGGATAAAACATTTTAATTTCATTTTTTATGAAGGTGCGTGACTGACAAAACATAAGTAGCTTGACGTGTGGCAATGTCAACGTACATATCGCCTAATAAATTCCCAATCTTTAAGAAAATACACGAAGGTGAAAGAAATATTTATATTTATCATTAAAGCTATGCCAGCGATTTTAGTCCATTGTCCTTCTCAAATAATGTCGTCAATAACATAAAATCGTATCGAAACATTCAAAATAGAATAATTTAGAATAGAAGAGCTCGTTTGAAAAACTGGAAATTGCTACCCAAATTGAAAGAGGTTTTTAAATTATCTCCTAAGCTGAAGAACTCAACCAATAGGAGAGACTTAGTCCAGCGCAAAGGCAACGATACAGTTATTTTTATTTTACTCTTCAAGCTGAACAACTCGTTCAATAATTGTGACGGCTTACCAGCCAATATATAAAATAGAATATACTGGCTGTACCGACAGAATTATAGGAAGACGTCCAATTCAAGGACATTTAAACAGTGGTTTGCATTCTACCCTTTAAGCTGAAGAACATGTTTGAAAATTATAATGGTTTTACCTCGAAGACATTGAAAGTTATTTTGTATTTATTTCCTAAGCTGAAGAACTCGTTCCAAAATTTTGACAGCTTATTCTCAACCAATACCGCCTTGCTTACTTTAGGGTGGTTGTCGCCTGGATAAAATCAAACACATATTGCCACACATGTTGTCTATTTGCTTTTTATCTGAAAAACAGGAAAAATGGTTACATGGTTGTTAGTAAAAATAATACACATTTTTACGGTTAACTTTTGCGTTGTAATTTTCCAGACATTTTCATTGAAAACTAGATAAAAAATTTTTTACATAACTTTATGCCAATTTATATACATATTTTCAGGATCAGCTCCGTTGCCTCAGATTTAGCACGAACAATCGTTAAAAAAAAGAGTTCAATTTATTGATGAGCTAGGGATGTTTTTTTGTTATTTTTAAATATTTAAAATGTTTTGTGTGACCGAAAAACTTACCTTTCACCTGATTTTCTAGTTCTACGCTGCTAGTTGAGCTTTTTTCGTCGGTCTCCACTTCGTCCATATCTTCAACTGTTAAAGGCTTGTTGGTGAAAGACTCGCAACTTGAAAAGGAAATTATGCTATGATCGGACGACCCATCACTGTCTGATTCATTTTCAAGCATTTCTTGGAGATCTTCGGCATGCGTTGCCGAGTAAAAGTGATTGTTGCAATGCATTATTAACCCAAAGTTAATCGATTTAATAAGGACTCTTTGCAGCTGAGCTTTGGTTTGCTTGCGAATTGCTTCATCGGGTTGCGCACCGCTAAACTCTGTCACCAGATCGTCAAATGGAACTGGCGCCAGGGTATCACGTAAATACTGAACAACTGTCTGTTCATCGATATTAAGAGTCATTTTGAAAAATTTGGAAATAATATTAATTATGACTGTTTCTCTACAAATATTAAATTAGAAAGCAATTTTTGTCTTTGAGCATTATGAAGTACGAATGAGCTATGACAGTTTTTACATGGCCCACTCGATTGATCTAAGTTTTTCTTTCGATTTCGATTTTTTGTTTGATCATGATTTTTTCGGCAATAAAAGCAAATGATTTCTTTTCAATTCAACATCTGCTTTTCCTAAACAGTTTCTTTATATGCGCTTGAAAAGAAAATTATATATTTTTCACAAAATGTGAAAAAAACATTTTTGATTTCATAAAGTGTATAACTTCAGTTGATAATTTTAATTACTTGACAGTGTGTTACGTTTGTCATAATTGTCCTTAAGATAAGCATAACAGGACACAGATTAAGGATATCATTTTATTACAAACAGTTTATTATTTGCCTCATGTACTTTCAATTATTCTTTTTGTGGCATTCAAGTACCTCATGTTTAATAGATTATTATCATCTGCATGCCTTATACATTTTTCGATTATATTTACAAATTCACGAGGCGTATGAGTATTTATTATAATACGTGAAACATTAAATAATCGTTAGCTCCACACTTACAGGGACTGTCGGCCAGGAACATATGTAATATTATTTATTTAAGAGTTCAATATTTTTGTGCGTGACTCTAAGCGCATATTTAATGACTACCGATTGGCTGAGAATTGAGTTTACTTATCATTTTCTATTTAATATTAAGCATTGATATAAATGATAATAAAGCATTTAAGCATAAAATCTTTTTTCAGTTGAATTATTGAATAATTCCATTCCATTTTAATTTCACTAACTTAAACCTCTATTTATTATGTTAGTGTGTTTCTCGTAACAAGGAACGAGTAATGTTCTTAAATTCTGTGCTTATTTTAGTTGCATTTATCTATTTGGCAACACCGTATTGGTATCACAAGTTAATTTTCGTCACGTTAATTTTATTCATTTATTCATTTTTTAAGCAAAATACATAAATTATTTGTGCGCTTTTTAAACCACACGCGGCAAACTTCCGCTGTGAACTAAATGTTAAATTTCTGTGTGTGTTGCTTTTGTTGCTGGCGAGCAGCAAAATAGTGGGAAAATTTCATCTGTGCCAACATAACTGATGGTAATTTGGCCAATTGTTTGCAACATGTTGCACATGAAGCCTTAGCACAAGCTGAAACTTTTCTTATATCGTATAGTCCTTAAACTTGGTATTGTCCCACTGTCAGAAAGATAAGTGGACGACTAATATAAATTGTAGGGATTGCTACATACGCCTCGTTTCAATTGGCGAGCTCATGTGCAGCCTCGCCTGAAAGTATGCTAAGTAAATACGCTGTCAAGAGCATTCTGTATATGTATAATGACCCTGCCAACACATCTGTGCTTACAGTCTTTTGGGGATGCCACGAAAGAGATATCTTTCCTCACAAAGTTGTATTCCCAATTGTTTTTTTGGCCCGCTTTCCTTGTGAAATATCTCCAATTATGTGGCTAAAATATCATGTGGTTAGCTTCTTTGGCTTCTAAATCTATATTTAAATGCTTTAAATGGCTGTGCCGCAAAAGTTCACACAGCAAATTAGCGAAATCAATTCGAGCATTTTGTCGAGAGTGGCTTGGGGTCAAGAGTTTTTAACACGCACACTGATACATCCACAGCTCTCGTAGCTCTCGGGCAAACATTTTGTGAGGTCATTTGGGAAATTGCTGAGCAAAACTTGGACCAGGCAAAAGGGCAAAGTTTCAACCAGTAGCTTAAATTGCATATTTTTGTTGATTTTGTTATGGGGCAGTAAAAACTCAATATATATATATATATATATATATATATTTTTTTTTTTTTTTGTTTTAAATCACGTACACTCATTTGACCTTAGCTTCCTTGCCCTTTAAATCAAATACTGTGCATTGAATGTCGATTGCCTGCCAAAGAAAGTTGATACTTAAGGCACATTTGTTCATTAATATATTTTTCGTAATATTTCGAAATATTCTTAAATTTTCAACATAAACGGAAACTTAACAAACCTGACACTGAGATATTTTATTTTGTGTTCATCCAACCAGGCCCAAATGTCTGCGTCTGACAATACTTTCGTGCAACAATCGGCCACCCCGTACCTCAGCACGATTGATAATGTTTTCTTGTTGATTCACCTTGAAACTGTTATGCTGTACTGCTTCGCCAAAGTTGTAGATTCGCTTATTTACCTAAATTGCAGTAATCTGTTAAAGTTGCTCATGTGTAATTCTCACACATCACTCGACTCGGCTCGGATCGGCTGCAGGCGTTCAGATAGCGAGTTTACGTATTTACATATGCAAATGTGAATATTTGAACACACTTGGCTCCGTGTCTAATCCAATTTCAATGGCGTAATCCACCATGACTGACACTAAAAGCGAAGTCGAAAGACGCCTGACAACTGGCGGGTTAATGCCTTGGTGGATGCCAGTTGCCATTGCTTGCCCAGAAGATCTTTACGCACCAGGTCACTGCAAATGCTTGAGTACTCAATTGAATTACTCAGGCACATGGTATATATGGGCTTGTAGTTGAAGTACATAAAATATCGTATTTCAGTTCAGCCAGAAGCTGTATAAGTTGCGGTCTTTAATGCCAGCATAAAAACTCAAAGTTGACCACTTTATCTCAACTGTTCTTAAGTTTTATGAGTGCACAGATTCTATGAAGATTTCTGCCCTGACTCAAATACTTGCAACGTGCTCGGCTTAACAGTCAAGTTGGCAACTTTATTAGACCACGAAAACGGGTGCATTCAAAATGAAATTGCATTGCACAAGGATCATCAAAATGTTTCAGACAAGCGTGGAATACAAAAATATGTATCTATAAACACAATTAATTTAACTGCTTACTCAGAGTTTATTTTATTTTATTTTATTGTTTAAAATATAAATTACCGCTCCGCAAAGTATATAAACAGAAAGGAAGTGCCTTTCATACTGCAGGCTCCCGTATGAAAACACAATTTAATTCGCCACCATACTAGTAAAAAATAGTTTTATGAGATCTCTCACGACTGTCGCTACTATAAATATGGCACACAGCAATTTGTGTTTAATGCATTTTTAAGTTGCTAGTGTGTGAGAGGGGGCGTGGAGTGTGTGTAGCTGTAAAGGGAAAATTCAACTAGAGACGCCAGTTTTGTGTGCATTTCATCTGCGTGTACTATATATGCATGTAATGTTTTGACTGTAACTATTTTTATGTTTTATTTTCCACAATGTGAATAATCAAATTATTTGGTTGATATGGTTAGTGAATGTTAGTGAGTTGTTTGTTTCTTTTTGAATCCTTGGGCAAGCATCTACCTTAATTTCGTTCCTTACTTTTCGGGTTTTCTCTTATTTTTGTTACACTCAACATTTGCTCGAAGCAATTAAAAATGAGCTCATTTTGTGCACCTGTCTGCCAACTTTTAACTATTTATTTTCCACATTGCAACCAACTAGCAGAGTTCTTCAACAAAATATTCTCTAAATTAAATAAGTTTGAAGGCAGCATTCACCTGGCCAATGGCTTCATTTAGCCTGATTGATGGTCTTCAGTTTTATTTATTTCATTGTAGTTATTTATATCAAATTTTCAAGCTTTGCGGCTTTGATACGAACAATTTCGAACATGAAGTAGTTTTTTTGATTGAATTTAATCCTCGCCTAACATTCTGCATCTTTTTTTGCCTGTAATAAAATGTTTACTGTGGGTCACTTTATGTTCATTACAATTCAATTTTTGAAGCTAGCTTAATCTGGGTTCGCAAGCCCTTGCGAACAATCATCTTACAAAATGGTGTACAAATAATTTTTGAGCTGTTTTTCATGGAACTCCAATGAGCTGCTTAATCTGCATATCCTGTCTGCGTGTCCTGTTCCTTAAAAGTTTCCTTGCAGTTGTCGGAATTTTTATTTTTAATTGAATTTTTATAATTGTTACAGCCTCTGTCTTTTCTTTATGCTGCACATGGACCTAATTATTTTTTATTGATTTGAACAAATTATTGGCCTGCAAAAGGACGAAGAAGCGCATTTAAATTACTTCATGCACTTTTATGCAAAGTGCGTGCCTCTCGATCTTGCCCGAATGCTGTGGTCTAGACAGCATTCAAGAGCCAGTTAATGTCACGCATTCAGCTTTTACACCCTTTTCATTTCCTCCAGAGCACGCTGTCTTGGCAAACAGCGCCACATTTGTTTTTGCTATTGTTGTAGTTTAAATGTTGTCATTGCTTTTGCAAGTCAGTTACACAGTACTTAGTAAAATATATGTATGTGTGTGTCTTTGTGTGCTTGTGTGGGTTTATGTATATAGCAGGCTCTCAAGTGTGAATTGGAAAATGAGTTCGCACTTAAGATTAAAATCAGTAAACACTGTGATTCACCTCGGCCGCATATCTACATACAACATGAGGCTTTTCAAGTGAAGTGGAATTATGCTTATCTCAATTAATGAGTGGCCGTAGGTGTTAAAAATAGACAGTTATGTTGATGTGCAGATGGCAGACAGCAAGATAATATATTTTCCTTGCGAAAAGCGAATTTAATTAAGTATACGCAATGTGTAAAAATATACAAATAGACCCATCAAAAAAATTGAAGACATGTTGATGCAAAAAACTGAATGCAGGTCAATGCACTGCCTTCTTTCACGAGTCTTCCTTGAAAGAACATATGCATCGTTCTCTACCATTTTTCAATAGGAAGAAAACATCAACTCCTTAAAATGTCACACAATGCTACAGATGACTGGCAAATGGTAATCAATAAATCACAATAAACATTCATAAAAATTCTTTATAAATAATTGTATACAAAGAAAGGTTCTATAAACTGTGACAAACATATAGTCTTGTAAGTTGGATAGAGGATATCTACTATTTCACTTGCCTTGTTATAAAAGTTAAGAGGCTACAAAAGAGCAGCAGCAACTGTTTTGCAAAGCAAGAAAACACCACACAAAAAGGCCCCAGCTGTGGCCTTAAACTTTTGCCATTCGCCTGGTGAAAGCTTTTCACTCAACATTTCACAGCTCCTGTCGAATCCTTGCTTAACTTTAATAATGACAATTTGCTGCCTTACCTTTTACATCCCTTAACTGCACAATCACTGATGGCAACCAGGCTTGGCATTCCTTGCTTTTTGTTGATTAGCTTTTGTTATATATTATGAGCCCATTATTTAGCTTTAATACCACCTGACACGCAGACAAATTGTCATATATTCTTACAAGTTCAATCACTAATAAAGTTTATCAATAGTTTAATTATCAATTAAGAATTGGTTAAAATCCTTTGTTGAGCAAATGAGACTTCAGGGCTATAGTCTTTTGTATACATAGATAGATACAATCTATTATATGACTAAAATTAAGCTATAAATCATAAAATTCGTCTTGCTCAATATACTGGCTAATCAGTGGCTTAGTCAATGAACTGAATATAATCTTTCATTCACGCGCTTAAATCAAATTCTTTTTATAGTTTAACAACCAGCTATAAAAAGCTTCACAGTTGAGCGTAGCCTGATAGAGTACTTTAACGATATTTTGCGTTCTTAAATTCTTAATATCGCATCGATAAATGTGTGTTGTTTCAATTGACTTCTATTGACATTTGATAGTTCGCGAACCAACTGGTATTTGGTATTCAAGACAGATATATTTATTGAGGCATTTATGCTTCCGAGAATGTACGTTTCATTTTGATTGAAGCTTATGATTGATTAAGTTTATATTCTGTACCGACTTGATATTCACTCTTTTCTTTACCTTAGCTTCGCTATGTAATCAATGAGGAATCTGATTTGTATTCTGCATGAAATATATTCTATTAAACTATATATTATTTTCATTTTAATGCATATGTACATCATTAATATTATATATATAGTTGTGTTAAGAATCTGATCCATGTCTGTATAAGCATTATCCTTAACATTAATTAAGAAACTTTTCAGTTACAGGACAATTAATAATTGAAAATACAGTTGAACCCTCTACGTCCGGCTCTGCCAACAAGATTCATTTTGTTGTGTATCTTTATGTGCATCAGTGTGTGTGTGTTTGTGTGCGTGCTGCTGTTACATAAGAGAAAACTTTTAAATAAACCATCAACTGCAGGGAAAAATGTAAAAAATCAGCATAAAAAGTAATTGACAGGTGCCATTTTTCTCTGTAAAAACAATACATATTCGTACACTCTGTAAGCATAAGGGATCTAGTCGGAAGAGCCTGACTAAGTGATAGCCTGTAACTAGCTGTGAATTATAATGTAAATAATTATTAGTAATAGCTATTAAATCACAGTATAGTTGAATATGATCTAAGCAAGCTTACTTTGAACTTAATATAAGGCACAAACGCAACCTTTAAGTTGTTTTGCTGTTTTTCTTTTTAAAGGGCAGCCTTAGATGTATGGCCAGTTGATTTTTGATTTTGATCAATGCCAATTAAAGGAAATGAAAAAAGTTTTTAATTCTAATTAAAATCATATTAAAGTAACCGATAAGAAATAACATGTTGTTAAGCTCACGTTTTGCTTGGATGGTCAACAATTTCTTATTCCTCATTTCTTTCTTTTCTCTGTACTACAATTGATTTGGGTTTTAGCCCAACTTCTTTATTTGGTTGCTCCACGCACAAGTAAATTGATTTCTAAGGCTGTGCAAGCGAGAATGGTTGAGAAACATGATGAGTTGGGAAAAATGGGGCATGGACCACTTTTCCATTAAATAATGTTATTAGCCGCAGCAATTTCAGTTAGCCTTTGTGTTTGAGCCTTTTTGTGCAATTGCTTAGTGTTGGCCTGCTGGCCATTTACAAAGCATTTTCACTTGGCCTTTTTGCCGTCTATTTTAGCTGATTTCATTGTGATGAATTCTGTAAGCTGTGGGCTTACTGAGAGCCAAGCCTCATATTACAAGTATTTACTCAGCTGTACGAAAGATTTTCGTCATCATTTCCTAATGGATTTTCTTATATGTACTTATCAAAGGGGTGGTGGAAGCAATTTTCACGATGCGTTGATTACTTTGGTCAATCTGTTTAAACTAAAACAGCCGAGAGATTTTTGTCAAGCTCAAGTCTTCGAAATTTGTTATAGAATATTTTAGAAATTAGACGTTTTCTTTTGATATTCGGCTTTTGCATAAAGGAACTTTTGTTTGCAAATTTTTATTTTTGATTTGTGTGCAGTTTTTGTCAGCACATTATTTAGAGCTCTCAGAATTTTAGCCTGCTGTAGAATTATTTGTAAGTAACATCTTCAAGTATAAAGGAAAGCAGTGCTCTCCCAGTAACAAAATTCAATAATATTCCTACATTTCATGCTAAATTGCTTTTATTTGGATAACATTCAGTGCCCTACTTGGCACAGGCCTTTAAATCAAAGGAAAAACTGACAAATGGATGAAAAAATAAGAACTTCTGAACCTTTTTTGTATGCGTCAGTCAGTCTTGACAGAGACCTACAATTAAGACTGTGAGTTTTGAGCAGTCGATCAAGGGGGGCTCAATAATGACCAAAAACTAAAGGCCAGACCAATACGTTTATTACAGTTACTTAATACATGATTCTCAAAGCTTATTGATATTGATTTTCTGCTGGTATGGTGTGGCCTGGTCAAAAATCTGCAACTATCTGACACAGACCAGGCAGCCGTCACTTGTAAAATCTCTGACCCTTAATTAAGTATCAACAGGCAATGTAACTTACTTGGTTGACTGCTCTTCATGTTGGCCATCAAATTGCATTTACGTTTTGCCTTTGTTGTCCTTTATTTGTGTGACATCAGCGAGACACATACCCAAAATAAATATCAATCAATGCCCTTACAGCACATTCAGTCCGTACTGTTCGAAAGTTTTAATTAAAATCACGTCAATTTATTATTTGGTCGCGTATAGTAACCCTTATCATTACACCCTTGCACAGGGTATCATAATTTTGTCGCAACATTTGCAATACATCGAATAACAAAAGTTTTCATTTGGCAAGTTTATATAACGACCTTTTTAAAATATGATTTAAATGAAAGTTCTATACGCAAATCACAAAGTTAATGAAAAAATCCGAGTACTCTTCAGTTGTCTAACATAAAAACTCCTCTGCTTAAATATCCGCAAGGGTATGATATCTTCGGAAATTTGAAGAGAATTAAATTCCTTGCTTAATTTCTTTTGCAAATAATTTCTTGACATTTTCTTGCATAAATCTCTATGCAAATTGTAATAAAATTTGCTGGCATGTTAATATGTAATTAATCAATGATAAATATTACACAAGATTTGACGTTCAACTCTTATTGAGGCTTATGTTGCGTGTGCCAATTACGCATAATTATTGATCTTAAAATTATAATCATTTTCTATTAGGGAATGGAATTTAAATAAAAATGTAATACTTACATACAATTGCCTACATTGCCTACATCACGGGTGGAACTACTGCAAGAGATGCAGCTTTAATTAATGCGAATTTACGTACCTATGCTATAACCTGGGTATCTCCTTATCGAGAACTCACCAGATTATAAATACTTTCTTAACATAAGTTATGTGGTATTTACAATTGTTATCGAGCAAATGAACATTTCTGGAAATTCGTTTAGCATTTTCCGGACAAGCAATTAGTAACTAATTTAATTTTAATTTATGTAAATTCAAGCAACATTTTACTCAAACTTGAACACTTAAGCAGCCCAAAAATAATTTGCCTTTCCAGGCAACGCACATAAAATGAAATCCACCCAAATATTCAACGTGCATGGAACGCAAAGGGATAATATTTCAGCTGAAGGCAAGCTGTCCTTTGAAAATTGTTCAATTATATATAAGCATGCATATGTATGTGAGTAAAGTATAAATAAGTGAATAGCAACAAAAAGTTTTACATTTATTTTTTTATTTATCTTTGGACTGGCAAAAAGCAGCAGGAAGACACAGCAAATGTGCCACAAAATTGCGCCAATGATGAAAGCCAAAGTTCTTCTTACGACGCCCCATAAAAATGATGGCAATGCCCTCAGATGCCCCTAATTGAGTGGGAAAAAGGAATTTTTCCATTTGTCTGCATAGCGTCTGGAAATGTACGTTTAAAAATTTATACTCGTAACTGCGACAAGTTCTTAGGAGTCCCAAATATAACGCACCCAGTGCAAAGCCAGCGGCACTTTCACAATTATTATTTATGTGGACAACTTTCTTTCATTAACTGTTTTTCCGGTGCCGGGAAAAACAAATGAAAACTTTTGCCAACTTGATGACTGCCTAATGTCCTTGCGTCCAGTATAGTATAAAACAACCATAAAATATTATTTTATTGTCTTTAGTAAGTCGTTAGATACGCTTTCTTTAAGCATTTACTTATTCAAGTCTTCGCTCTGCCTTTGTTCAGCTTGGCTTTTGCCATTGTTGGCTTTGTACCGATTGTGCCCCTTTATTTGACCAAAACAAAGAGCGTGTTAATTAAATTAAATAGCTTCAAGCCATGAAATAAAATTAATAGTTTCATAGAAAAAGTAGGCCATAGACATCAAAGTTAATGCGTTTCCGACCCGCCTTAAATATTAATTTAAGCTGCTGATTATGAGTATTTATTGACGAAGATGGGAACAGTTTAATAGATGTCAACTGACAGATATTTATTTCCTAATTAGTATGATATTTAGAAGAAAGTTTCAACACTTGCATAATGCTAAGTTTTCATTAATTTCCTATGAAAGTTTTTTATAGTAAATGTATGCTTGATATATATATGTATAAGCCAAACAGGCTGAGAGGATATTGTTGTTCAAACAAATTGAGGATTAAATTTTATATTGGGCATTATGTTTGGATCTACTCTAAGTTAATGTACCTCATTGAAGTGCATTCGAGCAGCGATAATTTAGAACAAATTCAACAAGAGTTGCAAAGTTGCCTGCAGTCAACCAGAGCAGACACAAATGTACAGCAGATGTTAAACAAATCATCTGATACTTTTTCAGCTTCGCTTGAGCAAATATGAAGAATCAATCTGACGTATAACTTGCAACTGTCATATACAATGTTTTTTCTCCAATAAATATTTCGCAGTTGTGCTTTGCTGCATGTTTAGGTGACTGTAAGCTTTCGTTTCCCCTTTTTGCGAATATCAACTTCTTTTTCGGGTGCAGCATGTGGCATTTGCATGTCAATTTGTATAAATACTTGTCCCCAAATATGCTCGGCTTAACGTATATGTTTCACAGTTAACTTGCAATGCCTTCCTCGAGCCAACAAGTCAGCAACTGTTGAATGAGCAATTAATACGGGGTGAATTTACCTGTTTCACTCTGGCACCCAAGTAATAATTATTAAATAAATACATTTTTTTTGTATGAAAACAAATACTTTAAATTTGTTTGTTAGCCGAAATACAATAACTTAAATTAAATTGGTAAGTATTAGAATACATTTAAAAATATTAAAGGTTTTACATTTTTACATATTTTGAATACTTTGTATATAAGAAATTGTCTTGTTTTGATGAATAAAAATTATTCATTATTATATATAAGTCTAGAAAAACTTTGAACTAAAATATAACTATAACTATGATCCGAACCGCCAACATAGGCTATGATTCAACACTAGTTGTCTTTCACTATATAAAATTTCGTATATTCGTGTTTTGTTATTTAAAATGTTGAACAACAAAGTGGCGTTAATGTCATTAAAAAAACATTTGCCTCCATTAAAATGTCAATTCGTTGACTTTATTGCATTACACTGCCAGACCATTAAACTCATTAAAATTTGACACTGTCCGTGAGGTTGAGGATAGTCTGGCAATTACATGGGTGTTGCCCACCCGAAAGCGAATCAGCCTGAGTTACGCATTCAATTTATCTATCTCACAATCCGTGAGCTTCTCATTGTCTCCGCAGTTGATGTGATTAACGTTCGTCGTTGCCCCATTGTCTGGCCGACTGGAGAATCGGACAGCCGCGCGTTGAGCTGTGCGTTTATCAAATGTCAATTAAGCTGCGGTTTCCAGAGTGATGCCAGCGGACCCATTGCCCTCACAGAGCGCCATCGCTTGCCCATTCTGGTTGCGTTTGAATTGGTTTTCGTTGCCACTAAATGTTTGGGCTTGTTGGTTTTTTTTCATGGCAATGTATTGGCTGTCATACAGATGCGGAGGTTCGTTGTTCTGGTTATTTGCTGCAGTTGCCTTCTCCTTGCCTTATCCTGTATGCAATTTTTCCTTATTCATCCTTATTGTGGCCTTTTTGCGCGCTCTACAGACATCGAGTATCTGGCAATCATAAGATACGCTCTTCCTGGAGATGCCTGCATTTTACGTTGCGCACTTTATTTCCTTTTACTCAACTTTTGATTGCTTTTAAATTCATCCCAGTCAGACAGTTGCATGCATATTAAATGTATCTCAACTGGATACCTTATGCAATTGAGGACACACAAAAAGCGTTTTACTACACGATTCTTAAAGTCGTTTGATTATATTGCCGCGGTGTGCTTTAGTTTTGTCAGAACCAAAGCATTTTACAAGAACTTATCGAATGCTGTTCCTAGTTATGTTGCGACTTGTGGTATTATCTGCTATATCTCTTTTTCTATATGGGTACATATATCCGCCAAAAAAAAACAATCATCCTTATTGAAGAGTTACACCCAGCTAGGGTTGTCGCATCTTATAAGATAATTTTCTTCAAAAACACATTTTGTACTGATGTTATTGAACTCCAGAGAAATAAGTTTTTTAATTTGGAAGAAAAAAATAGATATCTTGGAGTATGAACATATATATTATTTAATTGTTTCAAATACCCTTTTTGGCGTCCGCATCAGTGAGAATATGGATTATTATTTAAATGAAAATAATAAATAAGAACCTGAGATTTAAAGTCACAGTAAAACGGATTGAAGGATATTTTTAATATGTTTTAGTAAATTAATAATATTGTATTGCTTGGACTTAAATCAGATCTGATATGAATATCAATTAAAATTAAAAACGCCTTGTGATTTGAATTTGTAAGTGCTACCTCTTCTGTTTTTCAGTGTACATCATAGTTAAGTTTGCGCCGAAACTGGCTGTCACGGAAGTGCCCCAAAGAGCATTGAAGAACTTTGTCGATGGCAAACTGTGACTAAAACAACTTAGTTTTACTCGGACGTTTAACGGGGGTGTTAAATGCTTAATGTACAGCCTTGGCAAGTATATGTCATATACCACTGACAAAGTTTATCGGCTTGTTATGATCTCACAAACATTTGGCCGACTGCCGTCAACGGTCGCTCTGTCCTTGGTACATTTCAGTCAGCATTTGTCCAAGCCATCAACGGACATCCTGTCGTGTCTGTGAGCTGTGGCATAAACAAGACAAGGATATGTCATGTTCTCTCCTGCCATACTTGAATTCCAGAAGGACAAGCAGGCAAATTGTTTATCTTAAGAAAGTCACGTAAAGTGTCCAACTTTGACTTGGCTAACAGCCTGGGGTCGACATCAACATTGAGCGTATGCATTGCCTTGCTGATAATTTTTGATTTTTCCATCAAGTTCAGCATAATCCTGATTTAAATTTTAATATAAAGTTGCTTTTCACTTCGTAAATATTAGCCAACCCTTTGACGAACTCATGAGGAATTTAAATTATGTTTTCTAATTAAAACGAGCCTAGTCTCTAGTACTTAAGTCGCATTGGCCAACAGTCTAATCAAGACTGTTGCGAGTTAGATTTTTACTTTCAGATAATACGGTCTAAAGAATGGCAAAAGCTTCCAACATAGCCTATACCTAACGCTGATAAAATAAGTTTCAAATAAATTTTTGAACGAAAACAATTGGCCCTTATTTGCGAACTGCAATCTTATGTTTTTTTCATCTTCTCATGAACGCGTCAGCCGCTATTTTCATCACCTTCTTAGTTGCTGCCAGACAATTTTAACAGTTTTCTGCAGCAGTAAACTTTACTCGACCAGAAAATGAGGATACATAGTTAAGTATTGTAGAGAAAATAGGTTGCCTGAATACAAGGCTTAGTTTTCTCTTTGGGGAGTTTACAACCCCTTCCGTCATCACTTAGCTAAAAGATTTTCTAGCGTGTTTGACGATGCCAAGCACGTAAACAACTTCTGAGCTGGAATCATGCCTGGCAAAAGTCAAGAAAATTATATGTTTTGTGTTGACTCTTAAACACGTTTCTTAAAATATATTTCTTAAATTGTATGAAAGTTAGTTGGTTAAAATTAAGTAACTCAGCTTGATTTAAATTGAATGCTGTCATATTTTATATGCAGCTTCATATGTGAATAATGACTCCAACTTAAATGATATGTTAGTGATGAAACCTTCCACCTTCCAAACCTTTCACTCACAAGTGGACTGCCTATCTCTCTTTTAAAACTGATCTGTCATGTATTTTTATTTCCTGCGATCAGAGTGAATTGCAATGGCATCCTTCCAGCTCTGCCCATGATAATTTTGTTGGTCTTTTACAGCTGCTACTTCGGCGACTTCGGCCAACTTAAATTTGTCTGAGTTGGAGCCTCAAAATCATTAAGATGCTGCAGTTAAGTTGAGTAAAAGTTTACTTGCAGCTGCATATGATCTTTGGGAGTTGCCACAAGGCCATCACTCATTTTTGGCCCAGCACGCACACGAACTGTGGCAAGTTTTATGCGCTCGCCCGCTCTCGTGTGGCACGTGGCATAAAGTAATTGAATTCTCCTGGAGGCTGTCAAAGTTCAATTGCATTTTAATAAAATTTTTCGGTCGCCATAGCTCAGCTAAGCTCAAATGGGAAACGGTTGCTCCCCAGAGCTCAAAAGAAATAAATAAACACAGATGTCAACTGGTGAATCGACGAGCAAACAAATGCATTTTCAACTAAACACAAGTTTATGCGCTGGCGGTTGTTGTGTTTGTGGGTCTTTGTTAGTTGGCTTTCCCGATTGCTGTGGCCATGTGCTAAAAAATTCAGCACTGCAGCTGACAACAGACAATGGCTTTCAGGAAAAGTCAACTTTGGCTCAGATAAAGGATTTTAATGGCTAAAATAAAAATGTGTGCTTTGAGCCAAGCGAATGTGTGCTTTGTATTTTTCGTTGCAGTCAATGTAGGTCAGAAAATCAGCAGAGACCTGAAAAGCTAAAGTTTCTGTACCACAATCAAGCCAAATTATCATGCCTACATAGTAGATGGTTTGTCTCTAATGTTGATTAGAGTGCACAATGAAGACATGGTTTTCTTTTCGATGACAGAGCCAAACCTTTCATTTGAAACAATTGTTTTTTTTTTGCGCGTAAATTAAAATTAATTATTATTAATTAAAAAATAGAAAAGCTCATGAACGAGCCTTGAAGCTCGCCAATGAAAAAATCCAAATAAAAACTTCCTTAAAAACTATTGGCAATATGTAAATAATATAAAAAAATGCGAAAGCCAAACAACCGAAATTGATAGCTTCTAGGCACATACATATGCACACTGTTTTGCATTTGTGAATATATTTATATTCCATTTATTTTTTGAGTATTCTGCTGTTATTATAGCCAGGATTTATACACACTTATTAAATCATTTATATTAATGGGTCTCGTGTCTGTAAGATTCCTTGTATACGATTGCAAATTTAGTTACAGGCACGCTAACAAGTCGATGCCATGCGCATAAGCCAGGCGGATTGCTAAAGCTTCTGTGACAGGACAAGGTATGCGAATTCATCTAGCCAATAGTCATGTTTGTGGGCTTACCAAAACAAAAGACTGTCTGGCACACCCCCAAAGCCCACCGCACCTGTCACTGTCTGAATGCCAGCGAATTGTTATGTTGCATTGTCTTTGCTCGGTTTTGCCGTTGCAAATTGCGCCAAATGGTTGCCAAGGCAGCTGCCCATTTCTGCCGAAAATACGTAACACACAGAGGCAGGCAGCGCAATCAAAATTACGAAATACACATATTGAAACAGAGGCTGGGCTTTTGTTTACTACATCAAAAGTAAACTTCACATTATTAAGTACGTATACCAGGCATCGTAAGCTAGACTATCAAATATCCTTCTTTCCACGAAACAACATGTGCATCTGTTCTGAGCTAATACTAAGTAAACACACCTATTTAGCTCTACTGTATTTATAAATTTTATAAACAAATTTATTAAAATGTCCAACAACTGGAACTATTCTAAAGCCGATATCAGCTGGTTAAAAGACATCAAATTGGACGACTCCAGGCCACGGAAAGACAGGGAGGCGATTTAGATATAGATGATGGTCTCGTCAGCGCCGAAATTGTTACCAGACATGCGGGCAAGACATGATTGACGGCCTCATTTGGAGCAATATGACAAATGAACCCGAAAAGCCCTCGTTGTCGATGTCATCTTCTTATGACCCGCCCAAGCCTTAACTGTCCCTACGACATGATTTGGGCTTATTACCTAGATCGACACTTGGTCCGCAGTAGTTCCTAACAAAGACCCAATGGCTATAAGTAGCTTTAACTTGAATTGTGGTTCTTGAAACTAGTATTATAAATAAGAAGAACTTATTTAAGTCTGAGCTTTAAATGAATTCAGCCTGCACACGGCTAAATTCAGATATAAATGCCCTATCCCTTGATACGGGATAAGATGGCACAGAGCACAGGGCACCAATACAAAAATATTTTTTACACACACGCACAACATGTCGTATACTCGACCTCGCAACCGGTTGTGTATTTGCAAGCTTGGGCGTATCAGTTTTCCCAGTTATTAGCATATTCTCGACATGCTCAGCTACTTAATGATGCAGAAATGTAAAAAAAAGCCACACAAGCTGCCAAATTCCTGCATCCCTTTCAGTTTCAAGCCATTGATTATGCGTGTGTCGCAAATGTGGCTCAAAGAAGAGCTGATTGCTGGCTTTGCATTTTCGTATCGCTTCAGCTTTATCTGGTTTGCTTGACGAATGGAAGTGTGCATACTGATCCCAATTTCACAAATTTATGTTAAATACGTGCGCTGAAATATAAAGCAAAGCCAAATAGTAAGTAAGTAAACATGTACCTTACCTTTTCCGGTTCGCAAATTGGATGTGCGTGTGATTTTTTCTTTGCTCCTCCCAAAAATCCACAGAGCAGGAGACAGATAAAACACGTGCTCTAATACAATTAGCTAATCATATATGTGGTTGACGAAAGCCATTAATTAATTAATTTATTTAATTTACCTGTTTGCGGAAAGCAAAGCTTTAGACTCTCAAATATTTGAAAACCTTTGACTTATGCCACATTATTTGTTTAGTACTCATGTGATTTTTTGCATGCCTTTAAAAATTATAACGAAGCTTGATTCTACACTATTTCAAATTAGTGTGTTCTGGTTTTGTCTTGTTATCCTTGTGGACGTACTTGCCTTTTGGGACAAGTGTATAGAGTACGCAATAATAAGAAACGTTGTCAACTTGGCTGATTTATTTATAAAAACTTATAGATTATCACAATAACTAAACGAAGAACATTTTACACCCATCAAAGTGCCCCTTTATTTAAAAAGATTCTCTTCTGTTTTTCCCAGTATACCACAAGATCTATCAATTCCCGCAGGCTCTAAAATTAATGTTATGCTTTGTTCTTATTAGAACGGACAATCTGTTTTTATACCGCCAGACACGATGTCACTCGCTCACCACAATGGAATAAGCAGCCGAGAGCTAAAAAGCAGTTTTGAAAAACGGGGAAATGTTACGCCTACTCACGACCAGTAAAAGCGCGAAATAATTTATCCAGACTCGTTTATATGTAAATATGCCTACCTGAAAAGGTCGACCAATAGCCACCAGGAAAAGTTAACAAGTAAGAAGCATCGGGTCAACTGTGTGAGGCTGGGCACGCACTCGCTCTGATGGAAAGTCAAAAGTTGCCCGGCAGTGGGTCATAAAACGCATGAATGCACAGTAAATACGTGTTTGAATGAATGCGTCGAGAACTGGAGCACTAGGCCAAAAGTGAGTGCGTGAACAGTTGACTGGTTAAATAACTATACAAAAGAATCAACGGTCTAGGATTGTGACTGGTTTGCATTTAAAGGGTGGCAGCAATGAGATGCCCTTGGTCCATCAATATTACAATAGGGTACGTGTGGTATTGTTATTGTGATATGATTAGATGCAACAATTTATCAACTACAGTTGATTTGCTTGCCAAAACTAATGAGGCGATTATCATGGAAATCGTCCGGTTCCAGCAGGGAGCCACAATTTCATATAACAGATAGCACTGTTATGCATTACTAAACCAGCGAAACGGAGCTCCGTGGAGTCATAACCGCCGAAATTTCCCTCGACATTCTGTCCAAAATTGGCAAACCGCTTAGAGGAAAAAAGACAATAAATAACTCATATGTAGCATTTGCCACAAGCACTTGAGCAAAATGCGCAAGGCTAATCAAACCGAGTGGAGCATATAACATTCATAAACATAAGCCAAGTTTCTGGGAAAAAGTCATCACAATTTCCACTTCCCAGTTGGCACACCGCTGACACTTTCATTTGCTGCTGGCATATATACTTTTTTTGGCCAAATGTCAAAAGGATTCACATTTAGATTCAACTTCGCCAAAGCTGACACAGCGGGACATGCATATTTCCACACATTGTCAGTGTCAGAGTACAAAATCAGATTCAACATTGGCACTCGAATTGCAATTGTTACAGCTTGCGAGCAAACCAAATATGTAGATTTTTGTTTAATTTCATTTTTTAATCTACACAATTTTACACCTGCCTTATTGATCAAGCAAACCAAAATGGTTTAAAATTTAAACGAGCATGTGTTTTCCCTGTAGGTGGTCTAGGTGAAAATTCACTTAACACGCCAACGCTCAATTAATTTGTTACGCACATGTAGCGACATGGGAGGTACGATAAATGAAACCCGTCAACAGTACTCAACAAAATCGTAAGCTATAAATTATCGACTCACAAGCGCACAACAATAACACCAAAAGAAACACCCTGCTTACAAGTGCAAAATCTGCTGGCAATATTTTAATATCAATCTGTGGTTGATAAAAAGAACCAAATAATAAAAGAATATTATGAAAAATGTATGTTGTTTTTCTTCTTGACATCAAAATTATCATTTGTTAAGGGGTTCCAAGTAATATATATTTTTTTTTACTCCATAAATTCTATATTTATCCGGGTCACTAATGCCTGACCACCGCGCTTCTATTGGTCAATCATTACGATTTTTTTTAAATGTTACAAATCATCATTTTTTAAATTTTTTTCTCAAATTGTTTGCAAACTCCCAACTTGTTGGCGCTTTCTCTTGTGGTCTTGCAAAGGCTAAACAATATAAAATGAATTTTAAGCCAATATTCGCTCTGCCGGGTCAATTCACTACATGCCATGTAGACGACGATGTAGACAAATAAAAAAAAAAACTTGTTAGAAACGCGCAAACATAAGTTAAAAAGCTGTCGCCAGTCCTGGGGATCGCGGTATCCATTAATATGCAAATTTCAAAGTATATCAGTTGGCGGTCGAGCTCCTTTTTGGGCTTGCGTCTCTCAGCTATATATGCTAGAACAAAGTTGAGAACGCAAATTATGCACAGTCAGGAACGCTGTAGAGTTAACTATTTCGCAATAGGGTTGGCATTTGGATTCTATGGTCAGCATCTGTAAAATTATTTATCGTTCTTTTAATGTGTTTAATCGTTTGACGTTTATATTTTAATTGCCGTCCTTTAAACTTCTGTAGTATAGTAATGTTGTGATATCCAACTGCTGTAAAACCTTTATTCACTGTTATTGTTTATTTCAAGAGTTTATTAATATAAATACTTGCATGTAAGCTATTGAAGCGAGGCTGCTTTAAGGCACAGTCGATGATCGCGTGGATCACTCCAACCTCCATTTCTTTTAACTGACTTCAGATTATTTATTGGAGCTTTCGAAGTTGCATCTAGTGTTAGACTTTTCGGATAGAACTGGCCAGCTCTTAATGCAAAACGTATCGCTCGCTTCGCGGTGGATAAGGCTAGTACAGAATCACAATTCAAGCTTTGATCACTGACAAAAAAAAAACACGTTAGTTCGAGTTAGCCACAGCGAATAGCCAAACGAAAAAATCTTACCACTTGCCAATGGGATAAACACGCGTTCCCTTTATTGCCATTACGTGAAGATTTCTTAACAGACACGTCTCGGATACATGCCCCAGTGACCGGTCCCAACTATAATCATCGTAAGTGCAAAAGCTTTGGGCACAACTCCGTATGTCCGACCAGGTGTTTCGATTAAACGCAATAGCTATATTGTGCTTTTCACTTACCCAAGGAAAGCATTCAACCTTATACATGAAAAATAATAAGAATAGCTTTACCCAAATATAGAATGCTTCGACCTTACCTTGGAAAATTTAAGTGTAATTATATGATTGCCAAGCCGCAGGATATTACATTGCGGGCACAACTTCTTGCTGTTCTGCTGCATTTTTATCAGCACGTACAAGAAGTCTTCGGCTACAAAATGATTTTCCTCCAAAAATAAAACAAGACCTATAACCAGAAGGGTCATGATTATCAACGCTTTAAGGAAGTACGTAGGATAAGAACGCACCAGCATGATATCTGGTAGCCTTCAGTTGATGGAAAACGCGGTTCGCCTTCCACCACCAGTGATGCTTCGCCTGTGTAAGCCTTGCCTGTCTATAATGTCCATTGATATCTGGATAAATTGCATTATTGCAATTGTTGATGATAGCTCTATAGATATAGATAATTGTAAGTCACGTTTCTTAAAATTTATATTTTATACTCACAAATTTTTTGTAATATTCCGCGGGCAGTCGTTGGGATCCCTGCCAGGAAACCTTTGTGGATGCGTTTGTAAAGAGTGTGGATAGTACATCTGAATCACCTTACAGAATTCAATCGCTTGCACAAAATCGTTAATATTATCGTCATAGAAGTCGTGTGAAAATACAAGCAATGCCTTGGAAATATCCCTCGCGTGGGAAATACTATTTACCGAGTACCTTAGGTAGCTAAATTGCTTGTGCACCTGCGAAAGGATGATGATAATAGAGGATTCCCAAATATTTTGTACAGAGCTACAGTACAACTTACTTGAATAACAATAACCACAGAGTTATTGTCCAGGGGACCGAATTTATTTTCATTTAGGATCACCTGCTGCTCGTTAACTTCATAGATCTTGCGCTTGATTCTCGAGATTGTATCATTCTGATCAGAATTCAAATCTTTTAACACTTAGGGAAGGAACGCCACCATGTTTTATACATTAGTTTACCTTATTGATTAACGCTACTCACATGCCTCTTTTTCTTTCATTAGTGCCATAAAATGTGCTTCTTGGGCCGAGTTGTTGGTCCGTGATTTATTTAGCGTAACGCCAGGACTTTTAACTAAGCATTGATTGATTATGATTTAAAGCGTGTATTTATGATGAAAACAAGGAAATACTACTTACAAACATTTAAGCTGCAGCACTGCAACATAATAAAGCACAGCACCAGGAAAGCAATGGCCCGAACATAAAACCGAAGTGGTCTCTTATTCATGATTTTCATGATGTTCAAGGATCCAGTATTTGTTTACAATTATTATTAGATCGGAATGATATTTCTTTAGCAACTAACTATTTTCAATGCCTACTGGGTTTCCTGTACCAATTTACATCTTAACAGCTGGGTACAGGGTAGCGCCAAGGTAAGCACTTTCTTATCCTTTATATGGCATCTCGACTTGCCCCAAGAAGCCATATTAACTGCCCTTAGGTAAATATTAGATGTACTTCAAAGCAACTTACAAGTGGAAGTCAAGTGAAATTAGTTTGGTACCCTCGGGCACTTGCTGCTGATGGCCAGCAAAAAGTAATTCGGCTGGTGAACGAGAATCAAAGGCTCTTTTGTGGACTGATACACGGTAGCAGAATCTATTGACATGAGGAACAAAAATAAATGTGCCAACAACTGGCATCCAATAAGTACACAAGAACGAGCTGTTGTACTTTGTTTAAAGGTTGAGACTACAGAAACTTTATTTGCTATTGTTGTTCTGTTGGATTGCTTGCAAACTGTCCGAATCTGCTTAAGAAAGTAAATTGATATAAGTAGATTTTTCTTGATTTACTTACAATTACAGATATTTCTCTCCACTTTATAGAAATAATAATATTAAATAAATACATTAATGTAAATATTTATTTATTTATGTCAAATCAAATCTAAACAATCAACACTTGACATCGAAATTTTTGCAGCCATTTTTCAGCGTCAACGTCAATTTGTGAATTGCTTGGTAGTCGCAGCACTTGGCGGATTTTCATCCCAAGATTGATGATGATGATAACTGATACCAGTTAAGCTTCTGCTGGTGTAAGTTGTGGCCCTTTTATGGCTGGCCATAATATAATAGAATATTTAAGCGTAGACGATTTGCATATTTCCGTTTTCAGTATTAATATTCCTGCTGGCGTCGGCAAAAAATTATGTGATTAAATGCATTTTTCAGTTAATCGTATTTACATATTTAATGTGAACTATTTAAATTTTAATTCATTTAAGGGAAAGTTGAAATAATTTAATATTATTCAATTATTATTATTTTTATTTTGCACATTTGAGTATAATATAAATTAAAGTTAAGAGTGCTAGCAGCAGAACTTAAAAACATTTTTGTAAATAGATTATGGAATAATAGGAAGAATTAAAAATGAATAAAAAAGTGTTTACACTTTTTCTATCATTAAGCAACAGTATGAAATGTACATAAAAACTAAATTCATGGTAGTTTTATGGTATACATATTAATTATTAAAGTAAAGGCGTACCGAATCGCTTAGCCTTATCGAATTGGGAGAAATATTTTCATTTTGAGACCTTAATACGAACTAGACTATTGGGTACAACATAGTAAATAGTAATATTTACCTTGATGTAGATAGATATTTGCCGCATTGGATCCACATTGAAGGCTGCCTATGTTGCCCAAACACATCAGATTTCCTATCCGCACCATTTTTCTCCTGATCATATTCTTTATCATCCTGATGTACTGCAGCTTTCTCTTCCGTAAGTAGGTCTTTTAATCTTCAGAATTATTAAACATTATCAAATTCAAAGTCAAAAGTTTTAACGTGATGCTCAGCAAGCCCCGTCCATCCATTCTACCGAAGCTTGATTATGGATATCTGAGTACTTCAAACGAGACAAGTGAAAGTAAGTTTAAATTATGATTTAATTTAAATAATCATATCCCACTTTTAACATAATAATTTATTGAAAGGGTTGCATCCTAATAAAATATTAAAAATTATGCAGCGGATCCATAAAGCAAACAAACAGCAATTGATCCTTAACAAAAATAAATATGGCCCTCTGGAAAATGACTCGGTAGTTATTGTTATTCAAGTAAGTTGTCCTGTAATCCAGTAGAAAATATACAAAAATATCTGTTCAAAGGTGCACAAGCGAATTAACTACCTAAAGTACTTAGTAAACAGTCTTTCCCATGCCAAGGATATTTACAAAGTATTGCTTGTATTTTCACACGATGTCTACGAAAAAGAGATCAACGATTTTGTGCAAGCGATTGACTTTTGCAAGGTGATTCAGATATTCTATCCACATTCTTTACAAACTCATCCACATACGTTTCCTGGCAAGGATCCCAACGACTGCCCACGAAACATTACAAAAGATAAGTGAGCACAAAATACAAATTTTATAAAACGTATCTCTATTGCAATTATCTTTATCTTAGAGCTCTCATCAAAAAGTGCAATAATGCTTTGTATTCAGATCTTTATGGTCATTATAGAGAGGCAAACTTTACACAGGCGAAGCACCACTGGTGGTGGAAAGCGAATTACGTCTTTCATGAACTTAGAGCTACCAGATACCATACAGGTCTATTCTTAGCAACTTCTTTTATTTTTGATAGTTATGATTAACATTTTTTTCGTTGTAGGTCTTATGTTGTTCTTGGAGGAAGATCACTTCGTGTCCGAAGACTTTTTACATGTCTTGATGCTGATGCAAGCGAGTTGTAATGGTCGCAGTTTTCCTATTTAAATTAAACCGCGTAAGCGATCCTAACAGCTTGCGTTTGTGTAACGACGCTATAGCGATCAGCTTTTGTCTGTCATGGTCAGCTGCGAATGAGTCAGCCGCTGCTATAAACCGCCTGCGTGCACGTTGGCAGCGCAGCTATCTTCCCTCTAATCCGGGAAAGAAAAAAGCTCTGAGACCCTATATAAGCCTGCAGGTCCCGGATATAACCCTTTTTTTTTTTTTTCAAAAGTTACTTTACCATCGAAGGTCTGGCTACGGCGGTGCGGACATAGCCCCACCAAAATATTAATCTAAAAGCAACAAGTTCGGGCATCAGTCGTTTAATTCGTTTAATTTAAATTCCAACTAAATTGAACCAAAAACAACAAAAAAATAAAAAGAAAAACCCTAAAAGTAACCGATTGGCGAAATAAATTTTTTTGTTCATTTGATGATAACCTTTCGCTCCGCCACCCGGCCACCAGCACCTCACCGGCATATATTTCTTTGTGCCAAGATCTGGTCACAGTTTTAACCAGTTCTTGCTTGCCTGCCGAAAGTAATTTTTGGAGGAATAAATCTTGCCGCCGCCGTCTCTGACAGAAAAACCCACTTATTTTGAGGCAGCCGCCACGTGTGCCAATTGGACGGCACTGTAATTTCTTGGGACGGCAATGACATTTCTGCCCCCATTAAATAGACGTCAGCCTCAACGGCGGATCAGCTGCCATACCCTTGCTCATGCCAGCAAGGGCAGGCGCCGTTTCCACAGTTTGGAATCCGGAAGAGGCAGTAGCCTTCTGGGCCCCATTGACGCGCCGCTGATCAGAAGCCCAGATGACATCGCCAATTAAGTTGGCCGGAGCGTGCAGATGCATGAAAATTGCTGTTAAATGTTTTTAGTAAAAAAATTGTTAACTAAATCTTGTGAGAGACTTCCAAAAGTTTGTGAAAAGTGCATTTATTAGGCCCTCAAAAAACCGCGTGCAAGTGCAGTGAAAAAGAAAAATTGACATCTATATACATAGCTTTATATATATAGAAAGGAATACTAGTATAAATCTATCCCCCTTCTTGTAGAGTCCAAAGTCATTTCAGAATTTTTTTATATTTTTTTTTCCCACTTATTTTCGGAGAGTATCTTCTTAGTACTCACAATTTAAAAACCCTCCTGTGCCATAATAATATAATCAAAACAATTTAAAGCCCCACAGAAGACAAAAGAAAACAAATGAAAAAAAAATAAATAAAATTTGCTGCAAACTCTCCGCTGGAAGGCCTTTCATCGAGGAATACATGTAAGTTTTTAACCTTTTGTTTTGAGTATATTTTCTTATTTTGGCACAGATAAGCACAGCCAAACTGACATGCGCACCTGCTGAGTTTTTTTACTTTCTGTTTCACATTACGCTTTAGCTCCGATCAATATGTTTATGACCGTGTCAGTCTGGTGAATGCTTATCATCTTTGATTCTACCTACACCCCGCTCAATTACTAGCTGAAACAGAAGCAACCTAAAAGAAAAGATTTTTAACAGAATCAAATATATGTACACAAAGATGTATCATCGTATTCACCGATCAGCTGGTTGCGCTGCGCTCCGATTTGCCCATGCGCTTTGAGCTTAACCTTCTGTTGCCCATATTTTTTTCGACCATACAATTAACCATCAACTACAATTGTATTGACTCTATTATAATAACTTTTTTTTTGCTTTTGCCGAATACACTTTAGTTCAATTTACGAATGTCATTTTTTTCTTACCTAGCTATATTCTATAATTATTAAAATGCACTTTAGCGAAATTTGGAGAGTTTCTTTTTGATCAATAAGAAAAAAAAATATTAACTGAATAGTTTATAAAATGAATTATTTTTGAAGAATCTTTGAGACATTGTAAAAATATTAACGGACTAGTTTTAGTTACTGAATTATTGTTGAATCATTAATGCCACTTGTAATAAGATGCAGATTATCTAACGGAAGGATTCAGTTTCATTGAATAATGCTTTTGTTTATAATAAATATTAATTACGGATTTTGATTATGAATTGCTAAGTTTTCTTTCCTGGTGACATGGTGATATAATGTAGTAGAAGAATGTTTTTTTTTGGGATCTTCAAAACCTTAAACGCTGAAGATCATGGTTGGGAGGGTATCGAACGCGAGAGTCAGCTTACATCCAAGACTTCGCCTCTTCGGAATATATATGCCCTAATGAAAGCTATCACCATTGTATTGGCACTTTAAGTGCTCGTTAAGTTATGCCTGTTTGAGATTTTGTTTCTGCGGAGTATCGGTCTCCAATTTAGATTCTGTAGGGATCCTAAAATAAAATTGTGTATGCAGGTCGAGACATGGCAAAAAGAACCCCCCCACCCGAAAGAGCTAGGGAACAAGAGGATCCCGCCCTGCCATGCTAACTCAACCACGAGGGGCCTCGGTGACTACTTCCCGAATTATTTTGTGAAGATTGGCTGCCAACCGCCGTCACCGTTGCTACCCGATATGTATTGCTAGAGTAGCTTCACCACAGTACTTGCTACATAAATTTTTGGCGCCCAATCATGGGGCCCGAGGTTGTCTATAAAAAAAAAAAAAAATAAAAAAAAAAAAAAAAAATGAGTCTTTATATTATTGTCCACGCACGCTGACGTCGATGTGACTGGTTTAGTCTATCTTCCGCATGCGCAGATACTGGTAGTATACAAGATAGTAATTAGGACTACGATGCTTACAATTCAGAGCTTGAATTATGCCGAGAATCTGACCTTACTATATTGTTGAGTGCCTATATATAAACACGACTATAGTTATTAACACCAGCTATACAATCGGTCCCATACATTTGCTCGTTTTCTTTCTTATAATTTTGGAGAAACAACAGATTAGGTTTGCTTAGGTAGAAATACTTTCAAATGCAATTTTAGAATACTGCATATTTTGCTAAGATATCAGTACTGATTGCTACTTGATAGCTTGTTGATGGTTAAGTAAATCTCAGTCTTCGTGGAGCCAAAAGTTATAAAGTTAGATTGAATGGTTTTGTATTAACGATACTATCAAAGATAGTTAGAATGTTGCCCGGAACTTGGCCATATGCTGCTTTGCATATCCTTGCCGAACATTTCTGATTAGATTAAAATGTTGAATATTACAAACCGCTTTCTATAGTAGTTTCAATAAACCAGATAAATTACCTACTTTCATTGAGGCGATTATATTTCGTAATTAAAAAAAAAAAAAAAAAAAAAAAAAAAAAAAAACAAATAACTTCTACTTTATTATATTACCAAACCAATGTCACGAATCAGGAAAATATGAATGAAGCATGTTGCCTTTACGCAGCCCACAAAATGTACAGCCGTCGTCAGAGACCGCTGATAACCACTGTGTTCTATGCCAGTTAGTAATGGACAATACACAGTCTTGCTATTGCACCCCTTGTAGGCATGTTTTCCACAAACTTTGCTTGGAAGGTTGGTTGGTAAACCATGCTAAATGTCCCAGTTGTAGTGCTGTGATTGATCCAGCCTCAATTAAATTAGTTGTTGGAGATTGCTCGCCGAGAGGAAAACAATCTGCCCCACCTCCACCTACTAACATAGGGAGAACGGTAACGCGCAGTCTAGCAAAATCTCTTAATCCTGGTCCGACCCAGAGTGGCGAGAATCCAACAGCAAGGTTATTAGATGTTAGTGATGTACCACAATCAGGACTCGACGCTAGCAATAGCACGAATCCACCTGAAATCGCTCCTGCACGACCAGCTCCTGGTGTAAGAAGAAGAGGAAGACCCACTCAGTCCAATTATACCCGCCAAAATCTGGGAGTGGACTATAGGATAATTCAGGAGATGATCGAACAATCAATTACTCGCGTTATGTCATCACTGCAAATACAAGCACCACCCTTTCCAAGAGTGTTGCCAACCCCGATCCAGGTGTCGCCTAGTAGTTCGTCATTCCGAAATGGGAAAATTGCTGACACCATGCAAAAATGGAATCTTCATTTTGATGGGTCTACCGAAGGATTAGGGGTAGAAGAATTTCTGTATAGAGTCAAAACATTGACTGATGAAACTTTGGACAGCGACTTTATGGGTCTCTGTAAGCACTTACATGTGCTATTTTTAGGCAAAGCCCGTGACTGGTACTGGCGGTACCACAAGCAGGTAGACCACATAGTCTGGACTGAATTTTGTACTGCACTTCGCCATCAGTACAAAGATTATCGGTCCGATTTTATGAGCAAAGAACTGGTAAGAGCTAGAAAGCAAAACCCTGGGGAATCATTTGTGTCGTTCCATGACGCTGTAGCGTCACTGATCGATAAATTTGCAATTAAAATTGACGAGGAGGAGTTAATCGAAATTTTAAAAAATAATTTATTACCCGAAACCCGACATAAACTGCTATACCAGCCAATAAGTTCAGTTGGCCATCTACGTAGATTGGTCCAAATGAACGAGAATTTAGTTCATGAGCTCAGTTGTCGCACTGATGGTATGAATAAATCCAGAACTATTGGCCGTCGCCAAGTATATGGACTAGAAGAGTCTTTTAATGAACCGGAGGTAGAAAATTCAGAAGATACAAACTTTGACATCGCAGCAATTCGTAGATGTCATACCAACTTTAAATGTTGGAACTGCGAAGAGCAAGGGCATCTGTGGGAAAATTGCCTTGCTGACCGCCGTATATTTTGTTACGGATGCGGGGCACCCAACATTTATAAGCCCCAGTGCCAAAACTGTATCCGTAAAGCTTCGGAAAACCAACAGAAGGGTGCATCCAGCAGCAGTCGGATGCCCCCAAAAATCTAATTAATTCCCATACGAACTTTGTAACTGTGGACCGAAGCAAAAGCTTGGTCCCTACACCGACTTTAAAGTCACATTCCAACAATTTAGAAATAGCTAAAACTATTAAATTACGATTTTTACCGTATCATGAACGGTTAGCTAATTATTTGCATGTCCGAAATAAGATTTTTTATGAAGAAAAACCCCGTATTTCTCAGCGTACGCAGCGCTTGAAAAATTATTATTCAAAAATCAAGCAACATAGCAAGCTTTTAGTTTCGACCGTTTTTTGCAATCCCACCGATATGCGCAGCTATGCCGAAGTGTCGTTTTTAACCTTTACCGAGCTTGGTCTATTGGATACAGGCGCGAATATTAGCTGCATAGGTTCTACGCTTGCGCAACAAGATTTTACCGTAATGCCGGAATTTAAGCCTATTAAATCGCATGTCAGAACAGCAGATGGCCATAGTCAGAAAGTCATCGGAGTGCTTGAAGTTAAAATGCAGTATAAATCGGCTACCAAGTCCTTGAAACTGTATGTGATTCCTTCTATAAACCAAAATCTAATTTTGGGTCATGATTTTTGGAGAGCCTTTGAGCTCGCACCAAGCATTATAAATTCTGTAGAACTAAAATCAATGGAAAAAGAGCAGGAAACAGAGTCGATTGCATACCCTTTAGATAGCCAGCAAACGCAACAGCTGCACGTAGTAAAGCAGTTGTTCCCCAACGCTGTTGATAGATTAGGCCGCACAACATTGATCCAACACCGTATAGATATAGGAGACGCACGTCCAGTGAAACAAAGATTCTATCCTGTAAGTCCGGCCGTAGAAAAGTTGTTATATGCAGAAATTGATCGCATGTTGCAGCTTGGAGTTATTGAGCCGTCGGTAAGCGCCTGGAGCTCGCCTATGCGACTCGTCCTTAAGCCCAACAAGGTTCGCCTTTGTCTGGATGCTCGAAGACTGAATGACGCCACAAAAAAAGATGCTTATCCTTTGCCGAGCATCGATGGCATTTTTTCGCGGCTACCTAAGGCGAATATAATTTCCAAACTAGATTTGAAAGACGCCTATTGGCAAATAGAACTTTCCGAGGATTCAAAGCCTCTCACTGCTTTTACGGTCCCCGGAAGACCGCTATATCAGTTTAAGGTCATGCCCTTTGGCCTTTGTAACGCGCCTTCTACCATGTGTCGGTTAATGGACGAGATAATTCCTTCTGACCTGCGCTATTGCGTGTTTGGATATTTAGATGATCTGTGTATTGTGTCCGAAGATTTCAGTTCACATCTGGCGGTATTGGTTCGCATCGCTGAGCAGTTTAGAAAAGCCAACTTGACTTTAAATATTTCGAAAAGTCAATTCTGTGTAACAAGTATCAATTATCTTGGTTACGTGATTGGTAGCGGAGGTATTTGCACAGATCCGGAAAAAGTAGCTTGTATTGTAAATTGGCCGCCGCCAAAAAACTTGAAGCAAGTTCGAGGATTTCTAGGAGTTTGCGGTTGGTATCGTCGGTTTATATGCAACTTTTCCGATCTCACTTGCCCCATAACGGACGTATTATCGACAAAGAAAAAGTTTGAGTGGACCCCTGAAGCACAGACCGCAATGGACAACTTAAAAACAGTGCTAACATCCTCGCCGGTTTTAAAAAATGCTGACTTTAAGAAGAAATTTTTCTTACATTGTGACGCTAGTGATTTTGGCATTGGCGCCGTTTTAGTACAGATGTCTGAAGATAATGAAGAACAACCGATAGCTTTCATGTCAAAAAAATTAAACCGTGCGCAGCGAAACTATAGTGTTACCGAGCGTGAATGCCTAGCAGTCATATTAGCCATCGAAAAGTTCCGATGTTATTTGGAACTCCAGGAATTTGAAGTGGTTACCGACCATTCTAGTTTGCTATGGCTTATGCGCCAGCAAAATATATCGGGTAGACTGGCACGATGGGTTTTTAGACTGCAACAATTTAAATTTTCCGTCTCCCATCGGAAAGGCAAAGACCACATTGTTCCCGACGCTTTGTCTCGGTTGCCTGAGAAGGAAATCGCTCAATTAGACATGGGTCCTGTAATAGATCTTGAGTCCGATACATTTATGGACGCCAGCTATGTACAAATTAAAGACAAATTTTCCCAAAATTTTACTCAGTTTCCGGACATAAAAATAGTTGATAAGTTTTTGTATGTACGCACCGAACATTCGAGGGGAGACTCGTCACAAGAAAGTCCTTCGTGGAAACTATGGGTGCCTGATCGACTTAAAGTCGATGTGCTCAAACAAGCCCATGACAGCATAACGTCGTCTCACGCCGGCATGCAAAAAAACCATTGAGAGAATCCGCAGACATTTGTTCTGGCCAGGATTAGTTAAAGATGTACGTGAATACATACGAAATTGCGAGATATGTAAAGAAACTAAGGCTCCAAATTATACCCTTCGGCCACCTATGGGTGCTCACATCCCAACTTGCAGACCATTTCAAAGGCTTTATATTGACCTGCTTGGGCCATACCCTAGAAGCAAAAGCGGTCATGTGGGATTGTTAATAGTCTTAGATCACTTTAGCAAGTATCATTGGTTGCAGCCCCTGAAGAAATTCACCTCAGCTGTGATACAAAAATTTCTTCTTGAACAAATTTTCCATTGTTTTGGTGTGCCACAAACTATAATAAGTGACAACGGCACCCAGTTCAAAGCTCGTGAGTTCAATGCCTTCTTAGCCGAACTTGGCATTAAACATCTGTATACAGCTCTATATTCACCGCAGAGCAATGCTGCAGAACGAGTTAACCGCTCAATACTCGCCGCCATTCGCTCGTATTTAAAACAGGATCAGACCCATTGGGATGAACATATTACAGGGATTTCATGCTCCTTAAGGTCTGCTCTGCACCAATCGATTGGGTGTTCTCCATACCGTGCCCTATTCGGGGTGGATATGATCACTCATGGTACCGATTACAAATTATTGAAGGAGTTGTCCTTATTGGAAGAACCGCAGGCCCCCCTGTTGCGGTCTGACCATTTGGCATTGCTAAGGACAGATATTCAGAAAAACATCAGGAAAGCCTATGAGCGCAATGCGGCTCAATATAATTTACGCAGCAAGCCTGTTTCTTTTCGTGAAGGACAGGAGGTGTTCTGTCGAAATTTTGCGCTTAGTAAATTCTCACACAATTTTAATGCTAAACTGGCTCCCCAGTTTATTAAATGCCGTGTCAAAAAGAAACTCGGAAATTGTTTTTATTCCCTTGAAAATCAGCAAGGAAAAGAAATTGGTACTTTTCATGCCAAGGACATTAGAGTCTAATTCCCGCTAATATACCCGTCTAACGGTAGGATATTATCGGGTGGTGTAATGGTCGCAGTTTTCCTATTTAAATTAAACCGCGTAAGCGATCCTAACAGCTTGCGTTTGTGTAACGACGCTATAGCGATCAGCTTTTGTCTGTCATGGTCAGCTGCGAATGAGTCAGCCGCTGCTATAAACCGCCTGCGTGCACGTTGGCAGCGCAGCTATCTTCCCTCTAATCCGGGAAAGAAAAAAGCTCTGAGACCCTATATAAGCCTGCAGGTCCCGGATATAACCCTTTTTTTTTTTTTTCAAAAGTTACTTTACCATCGAAGGTCTGGCTACGGCGGTGCGGACATAGCCCCACCAAAATATTAATCTAAAAGCAACAAGTTCGGGCATCAGTCGTTTAATTCGTTTAATTTAAATTCCAACTAAATTGAACCAAAAACAACAAAAAAATAAAAAGAAAAACCCTAAAAGTAACCGATTGGCGAAATAAATTTTTTTGTTCATTTGATGATAACCTTTCGCTCCGCCACCCGGCCACCAGCACCTCACCGGCATATATTTCTTTGTGCCAAGATCTGGTCACAGTTTTAACCAGTTCTTGCTTGCCTGCCGAAAGTAATTTTTGGAGGAATAAATCTTGCCGCCGCCGTCTCTGACAGAAAAACCCACTTATTTTGAGGCAGCCGCCACGTGTGCCAATTGGACGGCACTGTAATTTCTTGGGACGGCAATGACATTTCTGCCCCCATTAAATAGACGTCAGCCTCAACGGCGGATCAGCTGCCATACCCTTGCTCATGCCAGCAAGGGCAGGCGCCGTTTCCACAGTTTGGAATCCGGAAGAGGCAGTAGCCTTCTGGGCCCCATTGACGCGCCGCTGATCAGAAGCCCAGATGACATCGCCAATTAAGTTGGCCGGAGCGTGCAGATGCATGAAAATTGCTGTTAAATGTTTTTAGTAAAAAAATTGTTAACTAAATCTTGTGAGAGACTTCCAAAAGTTTGTGAAAAGTGCATTTATTAGGCCCTCAAAAAACCGCGTGCAAGTGCAGTGAAAAAGAAAAATTGACATCTATATACATAGCTTTATATATATAGAAAGGAATACTAGTATAAATCTATCCCCCTTCTTGTAGAGTCCAAAGTCATTTCAGAATTTTTTTTATATTTTTTTTTCCCACTTATTTTCGGAGAGTATCTTCTTAGTACTCACAATTTAAAAACCCTCCTGTGCCATAATAATATAATCAAAACAATTTAAAGCCCCACAGAAGACAAAAGAAAACAAATGAAAAAAAAATAAATAAAATTTGCTGCAAACTCTCCGCTGGAAGGCCTTTCATCGAGGAATACATGTAAGTTTTTAACCTTTTGTTTTGAGTATATTTTCTTATTTTGGCACAGATAAGCACAGCCAAACTGACATGCGCACCTGCTGAGTTTTTTTACTTTCTGTTTCACATTACGCTTTAGCTCCGATCAATATGTTTATGACCGTGTCAGTCTGGTGAATGCTTATCATCTTTGATTCTACCTACACCCCGCTCAATTACTAGCTGAAACAGAAGCAACCTAAAAGAAAAGATTTTTAACAGAATCAAATATATGTACACAAAGATGTATCATCGTATTCACCGATCAGCTGGTTGCGCTGCGCTCCGATTTGCCCATGCGCTTTGAGCTTAACCTTCTGTTGCCCATATTTTTTTCGACCATACAATTAACCATCAACTACAATTGTATTGACTCTATTATAATAACTTTTTTTTTGCTTTTGCCGAATACACTTTAGTTCAATTTACGAATGTCATTTTTTTCTTACCTAGCTATATTCTATAATTATTAAAATGCACTTTAGCGAAATTTGGAGAGTTTCTTTTTGATCAATAAGAAAAAAAAATATTAACTGAATAGTTTATAAAATGAATTATTTTTGAAGAATCTTTGAGACATTGTAAAAATATTAACGGACTAGTTTTAGTTACTGAATTATTGTTGAATCATTAATGCCACTTGTAATAAGATGCAGATTATCTAACGGAAGGATTCAGTTTCATTGAATAATGCTTTTGTTTATAATAAATATTAATTACGGATTTTGATTATGAATTGCTAAGTTTTCTTTCCTGGTGACATGGTGATATAATGTAGTAGAAGAATGTTTTTTTTTGGGATCTTCAAAACCTTAAACGCTGAAGATCATGGTTGGGAGGGTATCGAACGCGAGAGTCAGCTTACATCCAAGACTTCGCCTCTTCGGAATATATATGCCCTAATGAAAGCTATCACCATTGTATTGGCACTTTAAGTGCTCGTTAAGTTATGCCTGTTTGAGATTTTGTTTCTGCGGAGTATCGGTCTCCAATTTAGATTCTGTAGGGATCCTAAAATAAAATTGTGTATGCAGGTCGAGACATGGCAAAAAGAACCCCCCCACCCGAAAGAGCTAGGGAACAAGAGGATCCCGCCCTGCCATGCTAACTCAACCACGAGGGGCCTCGGTGACTACTTCCCGAATTATTTTGTGAAGATTGGCTGCCAACCGCCGTCACCGTTGCTACCCGATATGTATTGCTAGAGTAGCTTCACCACAGTACTTGCTACAGAGTACCGAAAACTTGTGTGCACATTGCAATATTTTGTGTCTCGGCAATTACCTGAACGAATTTACAGCTAAATCGTACCGCGCAAAGGTGAGATAATCTGCAATGACATTTCAGAGTATGAGTGTCTCTTTGGCATTAATGGGAGCCGTGGAAAAGCCATATTTCATTTGAACCTCTTTCTTTAAACGGCATAAAGAGAAACGATATTCCTATAGGAAAAAACAATTATAGAATACTCTGCTCAGCGTTTCCACCTTACTCTAGTGCCCTTGCTCATTCTCTATTTCTCCCCGTCTCCACTTGTTTGATTTAGTAACATGTTATTCTTATTGTAACAACAAGTTAACATACTATTTTTCCAGGCTGAATGCTCGAATTTTGACGCCTCTCACAACATGGGCTTAGCCTTTAATCGAACAACCTGGTCGCTCATCAAAAACTGTGCCCAAGCCTTTTGCTCGCACGATGATTATAATTACGACTGGTCTTTACTGCACGTATCTGAAAAATGCCTGGAAAGGAAGTTTACTGTGTTGTCAATCGCAGGTCCGCGAGTCTTCCACATAGGAAGTTGGCAAGTTTATAACATATGGCTATCAAAAAGGGCAGATTTGTGACGGTTCCTTTTTTGCAGTGGCCTTCACCAAAAAAGCAAGGACTGTGAGTCCAGTCAATTGATTTCCAAAATAAAGCAAGTGCTTCACTTAGCATTCCATTTTGGCCAGCTTTATCCACCGCGGCTAAAAATCACAGAATCAATTCTGGAAGTTAAAAAAAAGAAGCCCAACAATTTTCAAACCAACGGTGGGTGGAGGGATCCCCGCGATCATCAACTGTGTCTAAGCATGACGTTACCTCTAAATTCAGAGGGTATATTAAATTCCAGTTACCAAAGCAATAAAACAGGCATTAAAATCGTTTGAGGATTCAAATAAAGCGTCTGTATGTTGCACATATTATTTTAAGTCGTGAGGGTCCAGGCTCTAGCTCATTCTATTGGAACTATTGTTAGTATCAAAATACACACTATTCGCCGGTACACAGATGTCTAGCAAAGAGAGTCTAAAGTTAGTGACAAAGGAATTTACTGATTATCAATGGACAATAGTATCGATCAAATTTAGTACTCAAGAAAAAGCAGAAGCTACAGATTACATTACCTTACATGTGTTTCACCAAAAGTTATTTTTCTTAGGAGCTAATAGAACTGCCAGTCAGTGAGACCTGCAGCTGGTATTATGTACGCAACCGTATAAATAACAACTTTTATGCTGCTTTTAATTATTAAACATTTTATTTGCTTCTGAGTTCTATCCAACCAGTTTCTAAATCACGCATTCATTATATCGCTTCAAGCAGAGAAGGGTGCAACAGTCCTCGGCAATGTCGCAGGTCATTCCAATTCCTTTGCAGGGTTGGTTGTTTTTCAAAATATTTATCTATTTAATAGATATATAGTATTATTATATTAAGTATTTTCTTGATTAGCACTTAATGCGAATTTACCGTACCTAGCCATTACCTACCTGTTCAGAAGACATTGAGGGACTCATTACCAAATCTCCAAGCACCTTTTGCCTTATCTCCGAATATGTTGAGTTTATCATAGAATCTAGCTTTCCAAGAGTCCTGTTCCCTTTCGCAAGTGCGACTGGAATAAACCACAGAGCCATAACCCAATAGAAACCGCTTAAACGCATTTCAATCAGCTACTGACTACAATACTAAGGGCTTTTTCTTTTATAGTCGGCTCTAGTGGTACTTGCTAGTCGGCAACACATGTTGGTGCACCTGTTTAATAAACTCATTTAAATTAATTGGATAGGCTTAAAAAAATGGTAATATGAAACTTACAGACTTATTGTAATTCTATTTACAATTCTAAGCAGAGCCCAGCTCATACGGCAAAAAAATAGACTTTGGCAACCAGCACGGCGTCAACGACCTTACACCTAATGTCCAAAGATCTCTTAGGTATCTCGGATAATCCTTGCTAAAGGGCTTACCTTCACGAAGTATATCTTCTACGTGACCCGCTATCTAAAAGGAAAAATACAACCTTGAACTCATTGCTGCGCCTGATATTCAAATTGCTAGTTATTCTTTTTAAATTATAACTGAACCCTTCCTGAACATTTTATCTTTCGGCTAAGCTTATTAGTTGACTTAAACGAAATTAAATTCGACGCACATATTGACAGCAAGCTGCTATATATCAAAATAGTTTTCCAATCCACCAATATGTTTTTCGTGAAATTTATTTTTAATATACATAAGTTTTCTTCCATTCACAAATCTACCGACTGTTCACTAACCGAAAAGTTGTACTTAGCCAAACGGCAAAGTCTAAAGTAAAAACCGAATAGTAAGGCACTTCAAAGTTTGGGGAAACTTTTATGCAGCCTCTAACTTTAACATTTTCCACATTTTCTTGACTAAAATTGTGTTTATTGTGGGGTGAATGAAGACTATCTAAGATATCAGGCATATGCATTCCATTTTCACGATAACAAGTTAATCAGCCTATGTTCGTTTGCTTAAGTTACATAAATTATCTCGAAAACAGAAAATTATATAAATATATACATGAAAGTTACCCACTGTCATCACTAACTTAGTGGTTGGTTCGTGGATTAACAAAATTCTTTCAGGTTTGATGAGAATATAGATATCTGGCGTGACACTGTTGCAAGTTATAAGATATTATTTTATTTTATTTAGATAAATGTTCATTAATACGAATCATATTTTATCTTTTTTTCCAAAAAATAATATTGAAGTTAATATAGAAAATATTTATTTTCAGCCACAGTAAAAACCAAACATTTGTTTCTACAAAAAAGAAATGTTGCTCTCTGATACCAAAGTCAACACACGCAAAAAAAGAAAGAAATTGAAAATAGGTATGTTAGCACAACCGCAATTGATTTTAGATCCCGCCACAAACAACTGCACAATTGGAGCAAAGTGAAGGCAAACAATCTGCAATCTGATAACATCAAATGGAAAACGTTTTAAAAATAAGTAAGTCTAAGCACCAAGGCAAAATAAGGAAAAAATAAAATTAGATAGAAGTAAAACAGTACACGTTGTTGGCCTTATATATAGACATTGAAGTCAAATGTGGAATAAAAAAACAAGTAAGAGGTTCTAGTCGGGAGCTCCCGACTAGGGGATACCCTGAACCCTCTTCTTCCAACATCAAATGCATATATATATTCTATTTTAGAAGCTATATGTCAAGTTTGGTGACTCTAGCTTTTATTATTTACCAAAAATCCAAAGTTCGTGAAAATCGGATGAGATTTGACCGAGTTATGGGGATCGTAATTTTTGACCCATGTCTATATACCAATCTTGGGGTAAGATTTGGACATGAATTTCGACTAAAAAATCGGTGTTCAGATTTGAATGCCAGATTAATCTAGATGGAAAACCATGAAGAAAAAGCCAAACTTCGTGGAAATCGGATGAGATTTGACCGAGATATGGGGGTGGTAAATTTTGACCCATGTCTATATAAGTACCAATCTTGGGGTAAGATTTGGACATGAATTTCGACTAAGAAATCGGTGTCGAGATTTGAATGCCAGATTAATCTAGATGGAAAACCATGAAGAAAAAGCCAAACTTCGTGGAAATCGGATGAGATTTGACCGAGTTATGGGGATCGTAATTTTTGACCCATGTCTATATACCAATCTTGGGGTAAGATTTGGACATGAATTTCGACTAAAAAATCGGTGTTCAGATTTGAATGCCAGATTAATCTAGATGGAAAACCATGAAGAAAAAGCCAAACTTCGTGGAAATCGGATGAGATTTGACCGAGATATGGGGGTGGTAAATTTTGACCCATGACTATATAAGTACCAATCTTGGGGTAAGATTTGGACATGAATTTCGACTAAAAAATCGGTGTTCAGATTTGAATGCCAGATTAATCTAGATGGAAAACCATGAAGAAAAGGCCAAACTTCGTACAAATCGGATGAGATTTGGCCGAGATATGGGGATGGTAAATTTTGACCCATGTCTATATACCAATCTTGGGGTAAGATTTGGACATGAATTTCGACTAAAAAATCGGTGTTCAGATTTGAATGCCAGATTAATCTAGATGGAAAACCATGAAGAAAAAGCCAAACTTCGTGGAAATCGGATGAGATTTGACCGAGATATGAGGGTGGTAAATTTTGACCCATGTCTATATAAGTACGAATCTTGGGGTAAGATTTGGACATGAATTTCGACTAAAAAATCGGTGTCGAAATTTGAATGCCAGATTAATCTAGATGGAAAACCATGAAGAAAAAGCCAAACTTCGTGGAAATCGGATGAGATTTGACCGAGTTATGGGGATCGTAATTTTTGACCCATGTCTATATACCAATCTTGGGGTAAGATTTGGACATGAATTTCGACTGAAAAATCGGTGTTCAGATTTGAATGCCAGATCAATCTAGAGGGAAAACCATGAAGAAAAGGCCAAACTTCGTAAAAATCGGATGAGATTTGGCCGAGATATGGGGGTGGTAAATTTTGACCCATGTCTATATACCAATCTTGGGGTAAGATTTGGACATGAATTTCGACTAAAAAATCGGTGCTTAGATTTGAATGCCAGATTAATCTAGATGGAAAACCATGAAGAAAAAGCCAAACTTCGTGGAAATCGGATGAGATTTGACCGAGATATGGGGGTGGTAAATTTTGACCCATGTCTATATACCAATCTTGGGGTAAGATTTGGACATGAATTTCGACTAAAAAATCGGGTAAGATTTGGACATGAATTTCGACTAAAAAATCGGTGTCGAGATTTGAATGCCAGATTAATCTAGATGGAAAACCATGAAGAAAAAGCCAAACTTCGTGGAAATCGGATGAGATTTGACCGAGTTATGGGGATCGTAATTTTTGACCCATGTCTATATACCAATCTTGGGGTAAGATTTGGACATGAATTTCGACTAAAAAATCGGTGTTCAGATTTGAATGCCACATTTATCTAGAGGGAAAACCATGAAGAAAAAGCCAAACTTCGTGGAAATCGGATGAGATTTGGCCGAGATATGGGGGTGGTAAATTTTGACCCATGTCTATATACGAATCTTGGGGTAAGATTTGGACATGAATATCCACTAAAAAATCGGTGTCGAGATTTGAATGCCAGATTAATCTAGATGGAAAACCATGAAGAAAAGGCCAAACTTCGTGAAAATCGGATGAGATTTGGCCGAGATATGGGGGTGGTAAATTTTGACCCATGTCTATATACCAATCTTGGGGTAAGATTTGGACATGAATATCCACTAAAAAATCGGTGTCGAGATTTGAATGCCAGATTAATCTAGAGGGAAAACCATGAAGAAAAAGCCAAACTTCGTGGAAATCGGATGAGATTTGACCGAGTTATGGGGATCGTAATTTTTGACCCATGTCTATATACCAATCTTGGGGTAAGATTTGGACATGAATTTCGACTTAAAAATCGGTGTCGAGATTTGAATGCCAGATTAATCTAGATGGAAAACCATGAAGAAAATTCAAACTTCGTGAAAATCGGATGAGATTTGGCCGAGATATGGGGGTGGTAAATTTTGACCCATGTCTATATACGAATCTTGGGGTAAGATTTGGACATGAATTTCCACTGAAAAATCTGTGTCGAGATTTGAATGCCAGATTAATCTAGAGGGAAAACCATGAAGAAAAAGCCAAACTTCGTGAAAATCGGATGAGATTTGGCCGAGATATGGGGGTGGTAAATTTTGACCCATGTCTATATACGAATCTTTGGGTAAGATTTGGACATGAATTTCCACTAAAAAATCGGTGTCGAGATTTGAATGCCAGATTAATCTAGAGGGAAAACCATGAAGAAAAAGCCAAACTTCGTGAAAATCGGATGAGATTTGGCCGAGATATGGGGGTGGTA